GTCCTAGACACTGCAGTAGAATTAACAATGGGTGATGTGGGGGAAGAAAGGATGATTTTTCTTATGAAATGTTCCCAGTGCTGTACCACAGAAGAGGGAGGCCAGCATGAGACTAAGCTGAATCTCCATGGTCTGTCTGGGTGGAAGATGGGCAGGCCATTGACTTCTCTTACGAAGATGCCAGCAAGAACTAAAGCATCACCTGAGGAAAGGATACTCTAATGGAGTATTTGCAAAATATTAAGAAATATACACATCTAGAACCAAACTGATTAAAAAGCTGACACTAAGAAGCCAAAAGGGCAAACTTGATAGCTTATCCAAAAAATACTTATGAGTAATAGTTAGCCTTTACCTTTATTATTTTATGCATTTATTGCAAAACAGAAATGTCTCCTGACATTATAAAACAGAGTTTTGAAAAATTATTTGAAAGAATAATAGATATAGAGGCAAAAAGAATGAGAAAGAGGGATCTTCCATCCTCTAGTGACTCTCCAAATAGCTGCAGCACCCAGACTGCTTCAGGCTGAAGCCAGGAGCTAGGGGCTCCAGTCAGGTCTCCCATGTGGGTGTCAGGGACCCGAGGACTTAGGCTATTTTGTGCTGCTTTTCTAGTTACACTCACGGGAACTGAATCAGAAGTGTAGCAGCCAGGACGCAAACTAACATTCTGATATGGGATTCTGATATTGCAAGGGGTGGCTTAACCTTTGCTACCCCAAGCCTGGCTCCTTATGATGTTTTTCTGTGTGTACTGTAATTTAATAGATCTCATATACCAAAATTCATCTTGTGAATGTCTGATAATATTTTCACTGGGCCATCCTGATTTAAGTGGATCAACTTCTATGGTTAAATAAATGGCTTGGTATTTTATTTTAAAATTTGATAGTAATTCCAATTGAGTAAGGACTATTACTGTTTTTTCCCTTCTTTTGTTTTCATTATTAATTTTTTATTGTATTTTTGACAGTCTTTACATAGTTAGGATAAAAGGCTCAAGGGTTCAAGGGCTGTAGGGAAAGTGGATAAGACTATTATTTCCATATTGATTGTTTCCTTCATGTATGTGAGGTAAAGGGGGTTTTAAGGGAGAAGGCCCACCCAGTTTCCCACCCACCCCAAGTCCCTGATATGGAGCATGCTCTGAGATTCTTGCTCAAGAGGTTGTGATAATTCACCAGTCATGAATCGCTGCCACTCTCGCCACTCTAAGCATGATAAAGTCTTTGAAGAATCCACTGATTGACATAGTCCATCTTAGAGTCTCCGTATACCCAGTATTTCACTGCCAATTTATAGCTGACGTGGTTGATTGACTTGTTCTGTCTTCTGTCTTTTCTTGGTTAGGGTTCCGAGATCGGAATTAGGGAGATCCCCAAAGAAACTTTGTCTGAGGTGTTCCCAGTCCAGATTCTTGAATGTACTAGCAAGCACAGGGCCTGGTGCAGTCCATCACCCCGATCAGCTGGTGGTTGCGATCACTGGGTTGGTTGTGTTTTCAGCACCGACTTCTGCTGGAACCAATGGGTGTTTGCAGTCCAGCCTGGTTCTGCCCAGCATATACTCGGCCCTTGCATAAACCAGGGGGAGCTGCAGCCTAGTTGCAGTGACCCACAATAACCCTCACCAGGCCCGCCTGCTACCCTGGTTTGCCAGTATGTGTAGCAGACTAGTCCAGTCTGTCCCACATCCCGTTTGGCTCTCATACATGTCAGTGGGTATTAGGGTTTAGTACCATCTAACCAGCTCCACTATGCAGTCCACACAGATGCTGGTGGGTGTCTGTCTAGCCACCTCAGCCCCTGTCCTAGTCTTCATGCCCTCCCATTGGAGTGGTAACCCAAGAGGGAGGAGCCCACTATTTCACTTCCAGGCCTCTCCCATTCCCAGATTATGCACTCTCCAGGTGGTTCTGTGGTTTGACTTGACAGAATTAGCCCCCAGTGCCGGCTTCTGCCAGCTGATGCTGCAGCTAAGCCCAAACAACCCTCACCCACTCTAATTTTGTTTGCACCAGTAGGAACAATCAGCCCAGCCGGGCTTTGCCCTGATCTAGTCCACATGAGGCACACAGATGTTGTAGCCTTACCTAGTCTGGTCTGCCCCCTTCCCAGCTCACACTCTCCAGTGGGAGTAGCTGTCCAGCAAGGGAACCCCTCCTTATTTCTCCTGCTGGCGCTGCCCCCTCCCTTCCTGGTTCTCATGCGTGCTGGTTGGGCGCTGCAGTCACATCCGGTACAGGGAACCTCACCTTGGCATTCTGTATTGTGCGCTGGTTTTTGTTGTGACCAAACCTGGCTTGACCCATACTCTGTTGTGGTGCTTGGATTTGCCAGTGGATGACGTGGACTGATTCAGCCTGGTCTTCCCCCGACCCATGCCAAATGTATGCCAGTGGGAAACTTTCCATGGCTTGTTCTGGGCTGTTTCCTATCATGTTTCTTGCGCTTACCTGCTGGGTCTGTGTCCTGCCAGAGGAGTTGCCCAGGCTCCTCCATCAGAACCTCTCCCAATGCCAGATTTCACACATACCAGTGGGTCCGTAAGCCAGTCTTACTCAGTTCACCTCCTGTCCTAGCAGGAACAGTGGCTTTTCCTGACTGGGCTTCAACCCAAACTGGTTCGTTCTTTTTTTTTTTTTTTTAAGATTTATTTATTTTTATTACAAAGTCAGATATAAAGAGAGGAGAAGAGACAGAGAGGAAGATCTTCTGTCCGATGATTCATTCCCCAAGTGAGCGCAACAGCCAGTGCTGTGCCGATCCAAAGCCAGGAGCCAGGAACTTCCTCCAGGTCTCCCACATGGGTGCATGATCCCAAAGCATTGGGCCAACCTTGACTGCTTTCCCAGGCCACAAGCAGGGAGCTGGATGGGAAGTGGAGCTGCCGGGATTAGAACTGGCGCCCATATGGGATCCTGGTGCATTCAAGGCGAGGACTTTAGCTGTTAGGTGGTCACTGCACCAGGCCCCCAAACTGGTTCTTGCTGTTGGATGTTTCAGCCCAGCCATGGCTCATCCATACCCACATACAGCTCACACATGGCTCAGTAGGGGTTGAGACCTAGCCTGGTCCATCCCACATCTACCCTGGTCCTCCAGAGCACCAGATGGTGTTGGAGTCTGGCCTGGCTTGGTGCGTCCAGTCCCAGTCCAACATTTGTGTCAAGGGAGACTACAACCGTATCCTGATCAGAATGCAGCCCCCATTCCATTGCACGAGCCCCTTAGTGGGAACTTCAACCCAGCTAGGGTGTCCCTTTAACCCCCAGCCAGGCCTGTTCCTAGCCATAAATCACGCGCATGCCAGTGGTTGCTCTTCTGTATTTGCGTTCCTAATTTTGTTTCCTGTGACTGTGTCACAGGTCACGTGTCCGAGGAATCCAATTTCCTGTCACACATACAAGTGCTTGCTACGTATTAGTCAATTTAAAATATCTTACTGCTGCTGTAAAGAAATTTCCTCCCATTTACTCTCATGATCCTTGTGACAACTCTGTAAGATAATGGGACATATTTTCCGATTTCTTTGTAGACGGAGCTAATGAGTGTGGTTTGATAAGTAGAGAACTGAAACTGGAATTCCGATCTTCTGACGCTTAATTCACTATTTTTCTTCTGAGTGTGTGTGTATATGTTCCCTCATCATAAATCTTTGTAAGATGTTAATCAAAGAAGTACAGTCATGGCAGTGTTTGTGCTTTAAGGAAACAGTCATTGGGGCTTGTGCAATGAACAGTTCAATTGGCTAATCCTCCATCTCCAAGCGCTGGCATCTAATATGGGTGCCAGTTTTTGTCATGGCTGTTTGTTCCCCTTCCCATCCAGCTCCCTGCCTGTGGCCTGGGAAAGCAGTGAAGGATGGCCTAAGTCCTTGGGACCCTGTATGCATGTGGGAGACCTGAAGGAAGTTCTTGGCTCCTTGTTTTGGATCTACTCAGCTCTGACTGTTATGGCTATTTGGGAGGTGGATACAGGGTCCCAAGGACTTAGGCCATCCTCCGCTGTCTGGTATATAACCTTTTCAATTGGTAGAGTAAAAAGTGCTGGAGTAATTTGTGCAAGAGTGTGGAGGTGTAGTTTATATTCCATTGTGAAGTCTAGAGTGTGTGTTCATAAATGAGTTTCAAAAAACGGATCAGTACCACAATCACTTAGGCCTGCATATTGTTTTACCTGTCTCTTTTGTTTTGGAAAGACATATTTATTTAGCTTAAACAGTTACACCAATAGAGAGAGTGTGCAAGACAAAGAGATCTTCCATCTGTTATTTCACTCCTCAGATGGTCCCAATGACTGAGTCAGGGCTAGGCCAAAGCTAGGAGTCAGCTGCTTCCTTTGAGTCTCATGTGTGGGTGACATGGGCCCAAGAATTTGGGCCATCTCATATTGCATTTCCTGGGTCATTAATAGGGAGCTGGACTGAATGTGGAATAGCCACAACTCCAACCAGCACCCATATAGACTACTGGCAACAGCAGCCTTACCTACTATACCAGCCCCTGCTTCAATTGTCTTTTATGTAGAGAAGATTTTTAAAAATTTCTTCCCAATGAAAATAGTAAGGATGGAAACAAATAGACTTCATTAGGTTATTTGTCTGATTTTAAAAATATTTCTTTATTTATTTGAGAGAGAGACAGAGATGGAGATAGAAACAGAGATGGGAAGATGATGTTGGGGGGAAGATCTATCCACTGATTCACTCCCCAAATGACTGCCAAGTCAGGAACCAGTAGCTTCATCCTGGTCTTATACATGGGTTCAGGGACCCAAGCACTTAGCGATCTTCCACTGTCAGCAGGGAACTGGATCAGAAGTGGAGCAGCCAGGATATTAACCAGCATCCATATGTGAAGCCAGTGTGATAGGCAGCTCCTTAACCCATTGTACTACAACTCTGGTCTCTCATTCTTAAAAGTGCTATGGTGATTGGGTATTTTAAAGTCCTGTGTCATATAATTTAAATTGACTTCTAAATTTTCCTTCCAAAAGGTTTCCCTGGAAGAAAAAAATGCAACTATTATTTATGATCCTAAACTACAGACTCCAAAGACCTTACGGGAAGCTATCGATGACATGGGCTTTGATGCTACTCTCCATAACCCCAGCCCTCTCCCTGTTTCAACTGATACCGTGTTTCTGACTGTTACTTCTTCCCTGGCTCCACCGTGGGACCATATCCAGAACATGTTGCTTAAGACAAAGGGTGTGACCGATGTTAAAATTTCCCCTCAGCAAAGAACTGCAGTAGTGACAATAGTCCCTTCTGTAGTGAACGCCAATCAGATAGTAGAGCAGGTTCCAGATCTCAGTTTAGATGTTGGGACTCTGGACAGAAAATCAGGAAGTGAGGATCACAGCATGGCTCAAGGTGGTGAAGTTATGATAAAGGTGAAAGTGGAGGGGATGACGTGCCATTCATGTACCAGCACCATTGAAGGAAAAATTGGGAAACTGCAAGGTGTTCAGCGAATTAAAGGTAATATTATTTCTGATATTATTTGTTTCAATGCTTCGTAGGGTTAATTATTCTGTTTGAATCTTTTAACTTTTTGCTTTTCCTCTTAAGCATGTGTGCTCATTATCTGGGAATAAAATGCTGGCTGCTTCATTGAACTTTGAGGTACAGCATCATTCCTAGGACTGCTGTCAGTAAAGTTCATTATAATTAAAGGTTACTTGCATCTTTGTCTGCAGCTTAGCAGCAGAGGCAGCCGGGAGAGCAGTCTTTGGAGTGCAACACTCTTAACGCAGCATGCCTGGGGTACTCCTTACCTGTAATCGAATTTTATACAACCATGCAGAAACTTGGAAACCGTCACTACACAGTGATCGTATTGTTTACTTGATTCTAGTCTGTTTGTGAGCATTCATTTACAAGTTTTGTTTAGTGATCTGGAAATAGTGCAATGAAATAATTGTGTTTCTTCTTATTAACTAGTCTCCCTGGACAACCAAGAAGCTACTATTGTTTACCAACCTCATCTTATCACAGCCGAAGAAATAAAAAAGCAGATTGAAGCTGCAGGCTTCCCAGCGTTCATCAAAAAACAGCCCAAGTACCTCAAATTGGGAGCTATTGATGTAGAGCGTCTCAAGAACACACCAGTCAAATCCTCAGATGGATCACAGCACAGGACATGGTCACACGCCGGTGATTCAACAGCTACTTTCATCATAGAAGGCATGCATTGTAAATCGTGTGTGTCGAACATTGAAAGTTCTTTATCTACACTCCAGTATGTAAGCAGTGTAGTAGTTTCTTTAGAGAATAGGTCTGCCGTTGTAAAGTACAACGCAAACTTAGCCACTCCAGAAACTCTGAGGAAAGCAATAGAAGCTGTATCACCAGGGCAATATAGAGTTTGTATTGCAGGGGAAGTGGAGAGTTCCCCCAACTCTCCCTCCAGCTCGTCTGTTCAGAAGATGCCTTTGAACATAGTAAGCCAACCTCTGACTCAGGAAACTGTGATCAACATCGGTGGTATGACTTGTAGTTCTTGTGTGCAGTCTATTGAAGGTGTCATATCAAAAAAGCCAGGGGTAAAATCCATACGAGTCTCCCTTGCAAATAACAGTGGGACTGTTGAATATGATCCTCTACTAACCTCTCCAGAAACCTTGAGAGAAGCAATAGAAGACATGGGGTTTGATGCTACCTTGTCAGGTAATTACCTTTTCTTTGATTTCCTCTAAAATTTTTAAAGTTTATATTATGCTGTTTCTACGCTTGATCTTAGCCAAAGGGACAAGAAGTGATCTATTATGCTGTTTCTTTTCTTTTTTTTTTTTAATATTGCACATCACTCCTTTATTACTCTGTTCTCAAAAAGATTTAGTAGTTATGCTCAAAATGAATACTGGGCCCACGAGGGAGGGCCAAGCAGCTAGGAAACATGATTCAGAACCAGACAGCAAGACACACTTGGACACTGCCACAAGACAAGGCAGGGAGGAATCCCAAGACACACAGGAGGCACTCCTACCCCTCGGAGGCCAGGCTCATCCCATATTGATGCAAGGAATAGCTTGTTTTCTGGTGACCACATGGGAGAATATTTGAAACACCACTGGGAACCCCCAAGGGGCTTTTGTTTAGTAGCAGGTTTATGTATGTATGTATACACTCACTCTTTTGTTGTTAAAAGTAAATGCATCACATTAATTTATTTCTGGTTTGACCCCAACCTTCTGGAGCCAGCTCCTCTTAGGTCAGGGAGGAAGCGGTGGGGTTTGTTTTGTGATCACCAGGTGGATTCCTTCATCTTCCATTGGAATGACTAAAGCCCCCAGGCTCCTGAGGCAGCCACCTGCCTGTGGAAGGGCCCAGGGCCGGCTCCTGGGAACACAGCAGACCCTTCTGCTCTCCTCATTGGCCAGCCCTTCGCGTGGCTCCACCCTTTTCCTTCTCCAACAGGCCCTTAGGAAGTAGAGCACTCACATAGGGGCCTTCAGATCTCTCAACTGCAGGAATAGAGGGCCCCTCCCTCTGCTTGCACAAGAGCCTCCATGGTTGCTGTCCTGACTAGATACTGTGAAGGGAGTGGTGCAGGAGACAGAATGACTAAGAGGAAAGCAGGGCCACCAGTCCCCACCTGCAGCTACAACCTAAGGTGCCTACAGATGTGGTCAGTGTGACATGTGTAGGGGACGGGTGCAGAGGAATGGGGGGGCAGGCAGGCAGGGAGGTCCCAGGGAGATGTTCTGCCTGCTTGCCTTCACTTCTTGGCCTTGCCCTGGGCAGCCACAGCCTCCATAGCTTTACGCACGGTCTCCTCATCCCCCAGTAACTGCATGGGCTTGATGGGCTTCAGGTTCTTGTCCAGTTCATAGACAATGGGGATACCGGTGGGCAGGTTCAGCTCCATGATAGCCTCTTCAGAGAGACCCTCCAAATGCTTGACAATGCCCCGAAGGCTGTTGCCGTGGGCTGCGATCAGAACCCGTTTGCCCTCCTTGATCTGGGGCACAATCTCTTCATTCCAAAAGGGCAGGGCTCTGGCAATGGTGTCCTTCAAGCTCTCACAGGAAGGCAGCTGATCTTCAGTGAGGTCTGCATATCTGCGATCCTTACTGATGTTGCTGTAGAAGGGGTGGTCAGGCTCCATGGGTGGTGGGGGGACATCATAGGAGCGCCTCCAGATCTTAACCTGGGCCTCACCATGCTTGGCAGCTGTTTCTGCTTTGTTGAGGCCAGTCAGACCGCCATAGTGCCGCTCATTGAGGCGCCAAGTCCTCACAACGGGCAGCCACATCTGGTCAATGGCATCCAGCACTGTCCAGAGGGTCCGAATGGCTCTTTTCTGCACCGACGTGAAGCAGATGTCAAATTCATAGCCAGCATCTCGCAGGGCCTGCCCGCCGCGCTTCGCCTCCTCGTGGCCCGCGGGGCTCAGGTCGGCGTCGTACCAGCCGCTGAAGCGGTTCTCCAGGTTCCAGGCGCTCTCGCCGTGCCGGATCAGGACCAGCTTGTAGGCGGCCATGGCGGCGACTCTATTATGCTGTTTCTTATGGCTTTTATCAATGAGAAATAATTCACAAATTCTGCTTTTTCAAAAAAAAAAATACTGTGGAGGTAGTCAACAATGCCTACAAAGATGCCTTGGGAATTTTGCATAATGATGGTGTTTAAAAATTAAAAACAATAAATCATGGTGCAAATATGTAATAAAATACTAGGAAGTCATAAATGATAGCATTAAAGGTACCTAATATCACCACCAGCAAATGTAGGACTTATTTTGTTAAATGAAAAAAAAAAAAAGGCAAACTGAAATACCATGTACACACTGCAACAAAGTGTTTGTAAGAACTACAGTTGTATATATACCATTGTATATATACTTCGGATCAGCGCCGATCCAGTCAGGAGCCTCTTCCAGGTCTCCCAAATGGGTGCAGGGTCCCAAGGCTTTGGGTCATCCTCTACTGCTTTCCCAGGCCACATATGGGAAGCAGGGCTGCTGAGATTAGAACTGGTGCCCATATGGGATCCCAGTGCGTGCAAGGCGAGGACTTTAGCTGCTAGGCTACCTTGCTGGGCCCAGATGGAAAATCTCTCTCTGTCTCTCTGTCTCTCTCTCCTCTCTGTAAATCTGATTGTCCACACAAATAATAAATAAATCTTAAAAAATGGAAAAGGATAGAAATAAATAAAAGATTTTAGCTGTGGCTTTTAATTTAAGCATTCAAGTTAACGGACTCAAGGGCTTTCCCAAAGTCTTAATATTTCTTGATCATTCTTACCTTTGAACTGAAATAAAAACTGTGTATGTTGCTTGGAATCAGAATTGAACCTGACTGCAAAATGAGCTGGTGTAATTTCTTGCTTTAAATCACAATTGAAAAGATACATAAACTGATTTCTAAGCAGTGTTATTAATCCTTGATATTATATTAGGTTGAAGATGACCAGTTATACCTGTTAGAGGCTCACTGAAGCTGTAGGAAAGATGTTATTAAACACATGCTCAAAGTATTGTGGTAGATGAGTGTCAGTTGGAGAGTACCCAGTGACATAATCAGCCATTTTTAATTTCCACATTGGTGACAACTGGTAGAAAGTTTACAAATCTCAATTTTTAAAGTGGATATATGCAGAGTGATATCTCTAATTTGAAGATCTAAAATCCAGAATCTAAAATACTTCAGTGTTGACAGAAGAAAAATTATTTATCTGACATCATGGGTCATAGTCAAAATGCAGCAAATAGTTCATAAATTACTTTCATGTTATATATATAAATTATTTAAGTAACATAGATATTTCTTGTGTTCAGTCTTGGGTCCCATCTCATTACATATTTGTAGTGAGGTTGTCTCATTGCATATTTGTAAATATTCCAAAATTTGAAAAAAAATGTCAGATCTGAAATAATTCTGGCCTGGAGCATTTTAGATAAGGGCTATTGACCCTGTTGTTTCCATATTATCAAATTTACCTTTTAAAAGTACACAAATACACAATCCAGTGGTTGTTATTATAGTCCCAGAGTTTTACAGTCATTACACAATATAATTTTAGAACATTTTCGTAACCCCCCGAATAAACTCCATATCCGTTAACATCACTCCCCATTTTCCTTCTCTAGTCTCTGATAAGCATTGTTCTAATTTCTGTCTGTTATAATTCATAAGTAGAGTCATGTAACGTTTGTCCTTTGTCTGCATTTATTGTGTGTAGTGTTTCAGAGAGTCATCTATATTGTTGTGTGTATCAGAACTTCATTCCTTTTGTTGCTCAATAATACTTCCTTGTACAGATGTACCACATTTCTTTCTTCATTCCTCAGTTAATAGAAATTTGGATTATTCCTACTCTGCTCTGCTGCTACTATGTATAATTGTGTATAAATTTTGCACAAATAATAGGCTTTTTATTTCTCCTAAGTATATACCTAGTAATGAAAATGCTGGGTCATTGTTAACTGTTTAATTTTTCTTGGAGTTACCAGACTATTTTCCAACGTAGCTGCATCCATTTTAATTCCCATTTAGAATTCTCAAAATAGAAAATCTCAAAAGACCAAGAGTTTTTATTCAAAGAAAGGGATATATAAATTCTTCATTAGAAAATTCGTACAGAATAACAAAAGAGTTCTAGTATCATGACCAGAGCAAGGTAATAAAATCCACATTAGCAAAATGAAATAGGTTACAAAATCAGGAGAAAAAAATCTATATTGGACATATTGAAAGTGAAACTCTTATCAGGTGACTATATAAAATTTTCTTGGAGTAAAACAATGATCTAGGAAGTTGGGTCTTCACTAACCAACTAAAGCAAACAAAATGCTTGATTGAGTCCCTTCTGATTTTTTCCCCCTATGATTTATTTATTTTTATTTGAAAGGCAAATTTACAAAAAGAGTGAGAGATAGAGCGGGATCTTCCATCTGCTGGTTCACTTCCCAAATAACTGCAATAGCTGGAGCTGAGCCAATCCAAAGCCAGGAGCCCGGTGCCTCTTCCATGTCTCCCTTACAGGTGCAGGGTCCCAAGGTTTTGCGCCAGCATTGACTGCTTTCCCAGTCCACAAGCAGGGAGGTCAGTGGGAAGTGGAGCCAGGACACAAAGTGTTTGCCCATATGGGATCCCAGCCATTGCAGATAGAGGATTAGCTAGTTGAGCCATCACACTTGCCCTTCTTCTGTTGTGTAAAACTTTTTCTTTAATTTCAAACATACGAAAAGCAACAAGAATTCTTTTTTCTTTAAAAAAAAATTTATCATTATTTTTTAGAACAGCAACAAGAATTATACAAGGAAATTCTGCTTATCAGTTGCACTCAGACTACCTGGTTGTTAATGTTTTACCATTTTGTTTTATCGTTCTCTTTCTTGATAGGTATAAATATATGGTACACACACACACACACACATTTTTGTGAACTACTTGAAAGTAAGCTAGCACAGGTGATGTTTGTTATTTTAAATTCTGTTTTCTCCTATGTATTTATGTACCTTACACCAGACAGTGAGCCTGGTTTTGAATATCAGATTGTAAATCCTTTCTTGAAATTTAGTAATTATTTCTAATTGTTGCCTCAAGTGCAATAAGGTCATCTTTCTTTTGAATTCAAGCATTAAGTAGTGTAGTTACAGCCTGCGGAAAAGCTAATTGAAATAAACCAACTGTTAATTCATTGTGACCTTTTATACTTTTTCACTTCCTCTGTGAAAGATGAAAGTTTTAGCTGTTTTACTTGCTATACTCACAGGCGTATAGGTCACAATTTCATGAAATTTTATGTAGCTGTAATGCTAAGTTGCTAAGAGGAGCTGCCTTGATAACATAATTTAATATGTGAAAATTGCAGATGTTCATGTTACATCTTGTACCTAAAATAACTAAATTGCTCCATAATGAGATGTAAAGTGATTGATAGCATAAACTGTTGGGTTTTTTTTTTTGCATTGTCCAAGTTGGTAATTAAGTTTTAGTAATAATTATGGGAGAATGAAAGAAACTTCTAGCTAGATTAAAATTATAGTTATTAAAGCCAAAGTTGTTTATTTATTTTTTTTTGGCAAGTGTACCTCCTTTCTGACATATTTAAGATAACAATTAGTGAATTTCCTCATTCCAAATAATATGCTTAGGCTCTAAATGAATAGCTTTCCAAATTGATTTACTTGAGACTAAAAATGACTAACTTAGGACCTGGGAGAATGTGGTTCTTTATTCAGACTATCTTTGCAGTAGCATGACTGGCTGTGCTGTCATTTTCTGGGAACTTGGAAATGCGGAATCTTAGTTTCCATCTGGGATGTTCAGACTCAGAATCTGCATCTTGAACAGGATATCACCCCACTATGATAAGTGCATTCAAATTTACGAGGCAAACTGACTTGAGACATCTGTGTTATTATTTCTTTAGGGAAATTATTAGGCTTTTGTTAGTTTCTTCCAAAGATATTCTTCTTCAGTATGCTGAAAAAATGTGTGCAGGGATGCTTTTGTTCATTAGCCATATAGGTATGAGCTGATGTTCTGTAGAAGGAGGATTAAAAACAGATGGGTAGGATATAGGATAGTAGAAATTTCTACATCACCTCCGTTCTTTTTGCCTTATCTCTGCAGGAAAGGAGAAAATCTATGGCTTTTTTTGCAAATATAGGAAGAGGTGTGTTGGAATAGTTTCATCTTGGGAGGTGGCTTCTTGGATGATAGACATTTACACAGTTTATAAATAATTCTATATACTGATTATCTGAATATTCTGTTGCAAATCCAAAGTTACTTCTGATACCTTTTTGTACTGTCCAACAAGATATATTTTTTTTCCAACAAGATATTTTAAAGACTAGAGGATAATCTGTATTTTTTAAAGATTTATATATTTTTATTTGTAAGTCAGATATACAAAGAGGAGGAGAGACAGAGAGGAAGATCCTCCATCCACTGATTCGCTCCCCAAGTGGCCGCAACTACCGGAGATGAGCCAACCTGAAGCCGGGAGTCAGGATCTATCCCAGGGTCTCCCATGCAGGTGCAGGGTCCCAAGGCTTTGGGCCATCCTGGACTGCCCTCCCATGCCACAGGCAGGGAGCTCGATGGGAGGTGGGGTTGCCAGGGTTAGAATCAGTGCCCATATTCCAGGATTGCAGTGCATCGAAGGCATTGACTCTAGACGCTAGGCTACCATGCTGGGCTCTGTGTTTTTATTTATTTAAGTTTCTAACAATATGGAAGTTTCAGTAGAAGAAATTTGTTCATCTGTCATTCTTTTCCTGACAACCTCACACCCTAGAAGTAGTCACTGTTAATAATTTTTCTGTTGCCTTCTAGACTTTTTTGGAAATGTTATTGTAGTTGCATACATTGAAAAAATGTTTAATGTCATCGTGCAGTTTTTTTGTGTGCAACTAATTATGTCATGAAACTACTTTAATGTTATCATGCACATCACCAACACCGTCATGTTCATTATAAAATAAGTACTATCCATTAACAACCTGCTTTACCTAGTGTTGGGGGTGGACATAAGCTGGAAGAACTTTCTTTATCCAAAATTTTGCTTATTGAGTTCAGATTCTCCTGGAAACTGGAATAAGAAATATTGAAATTGGAAGTCACTGCTGGGAATTTGTGAAGATAATGTGTTACTGGGCGCTCATAGGAGCTTGCTGGTTTTAGAAGGATAGATTGACAGTACCTGGGTATGAGTTGGGATGTGTGACAGAGATGCAGCTGGAGCGTGCCACAGATGAGTAAGAATCTTTTTCCTTTCCACCAGGTATGAGTGAACCATTGGTAGTAATAGCTCAGCCCTCATCCGAAATACCACTTTTGACTTCAGCTAATGAATTGTATCCTAAAATGATGACACCAGTTCATGACAAGCAGGAGGCAAAGGCTTCATCTAAGTGCTACATACAGGTCACTGGCATGACTTGTGCTTCCTGTGTTGCAAACATTGAACGGAATTTAAGAAGAGAAGAAGGTAAGACATTTTGAAAGCTTGTAATTTGATGTACTAGTTAGAGGACTCCATCCTTTGGGCTCCCTTATTTATGATTCTTGCCAAGACCTTCTAAAGACTTAGTGTATGGAAAAACCTTGATTCCCTGACATGTTAATGATTTGTTCCCTGTTAATGTTTTGTTCTCTTCGATAAAGTCACTGTCTCATTTACCTAATCATCACATTTTAACATCAGTGAAGTTTATAGAAAAACATCTCAAGGAAATATAGAATTCATACTCTTTATGGATCTTAGCTGAAGTGGATTTTAAAAAATACATATTTTTTTAATGATTACATGGTTGATCAGAGTAGGAAGGATCGAGATTTAGGGAAAATTGGATGTATTCATTGCTTCCAAATTTGCTACTTCTTCTTGATGTTTCTGGGGGAAGGGGAGAGACAAAGGGGAAAACCACACATGACTTTCCATACATCCCAGTACCAAGGGGTGAGGAACTGCCACCTCATATCAACCCAGAGTCTCAATGTATACATATTCTGAGGGTTCTGTCCAAGTGGTGTGGATAGTTCTGAAATGCTGCCAATTTCACTGATCCGAGGATGTCACCCTTCCAATATCCATTGGTTCCTTTCAGCAAGACTTCTTGCTGTCATTGTTTGTTGGGGTAGTTGTCCATTTAGTTCTGTTCTTCTTTTTGCTACAGCACCAAATGTGATGCCATATTCTCCTTTTACAACAGGGCCTGTGTTCACTGCTCCACCTTTTCATTAAGTAGGGCATGTTCTTACAGGCAAGTCAAGTACCTGGGACAGGTGTCCCAAGCATCGCCAGACCCCTGACCCCTGGAGTTCAGGAACCTGACATCCCCCTAGTAGGTGGGCCCCAGGGCCTGGGACAGGAGACCCAAGGCCTGACTAATTCCCCACCCCTGGGGCTCATAAACCCACACCTACCTCACAGGTAGGCCCCAGGACCCAGGCCAGGCGACCTGAGCCCCACCAAATCCCCCAGCACTAGGGTTCACCAACCCAGCACCCACCTGGTAGGCAGGCCCTGGGAACTGACCTGGGCCATGAAACCCAAACCCCGCCAGGTCCCCCACTTAGAAGGCGTGCCCCAGGATCTGGGCCAAGAGATTCACATCCCACCGGTTCCCTCACCCCCAGGACTCAGGAATCCATCCCCCACCACAAAGGTGGGCTCCATGACCTGAGCCAAGCTACCCAAGCCCTGTCAGATCCGCTGTCCCTGGGATTCACATTCCTGTTCCCTGCTGGGCCAGGCCGACAACACGTGTCTGCAGTCTTATTATGCAGCCTGGCCTAGTGTAGTCTGCCCCCTATTTTAGCTCCTGTTGGTGGGTGCTGCACCTTCTCCCAGCCCGGCCTGATTGCTGTCCGGGTCCTGATGTGAAATGGCTGGTGTTGACTCCTCCTGCCCACTACCCTGGTTCTCAGATCTGCCAGTGGGTGTTATGTGCTGGCCCCAGAATAGTCTGTCTCCAGACCTGACCCACATGTATGCCCACAGGTACTGTAACCTGGCATGGTCTGGACTGCTCCTTGCCTTGCTTCTTGCACTCACCTGCAGGGGCTGAGTCCCTATGAAAGAGTTTCCCAAACTCCTCCATCAGGTTTCCTCCCAGTGGCAGTTCTTGCACACACCAGTGGATTGTTGGCTCAGGTTGACTTTGTCCACCTCCTGTCCTGATAAAAACAGTGGTCTTGCTTAACCAGCCACACCCATTCTGGTTCTTGTTACTGGTTGTTGCAGCCCGTCGCTACCTGTGTCCATGCCCAGACATAGCTTTCATGCAGTTCAGTGGGAGCCAAGACCTAGTCTGGCTTTTTCTACACCCAACCTGGCTCTCACGAATACTGCTGGGGGCTGGAGTCAAGCCCAATCTGTTTCTCCACCGTACCAGTGCATACCCGTACTGGTGCAGTCTGTAGCCATGTACAGCTACACCTGCTGCCCTCAATCCTGCTCTCATTCTTGGGGTGCCCCCTTAGCTCCCAAGCAAGACCTGACCCCATTCTCTGTTCCTGGGCAAGCCAGTAGAAATAGCTGCGGTGGATTTTAAGAAACACAGATGTTTTACTAACTCATCCTTTTTTTTTTTTTTTTATTTTATTTTTATTGTTGCTTACCTTGTATTATGTAGTACAGTTTTATAGGCGCTGGGGATTCCCCCCTCCCATCCCATACCCCTCCCCCCATGGTGGATTCCTCCACCTTGTTGCATAACCATAGTTCAAGTTCAGTTGAGATTCATTGCTTGCAAACACATGCCTAGCATAAAGTTCAGCGTCTTATGGAAACTATAATGCTAAGGGAAATGAGCGAATCCCAAAAGGTTAGATACCACATGTTTGCCTTGATTTAACCTGTAATTTTTTGTTTGGTTGTTTATTATTTTTTGAACCTGTCATTGATACTGTCTCAAACCAGATGTTTCGAAGAATGGAACTTGCATTATTTTTAACATATTGTTTACCCAATACTATGTCAATTAATTCCATAATGTTGTATATTGATACTGAGGCCTTGTTGGGGCTTTTAACTGACCGGATCTTTACTCTGTTAGACCTAGCTTCAGACCTTAGAAGGTCTCCCCAAGAGGCCACCGAACTTATCTGGACAATAAGATACTAACTCATCCTTAAGAGCAGGTGTTTAGCCTGGCAGTTCTGGTTAGGATACCGGTGCCCCATGTCAAAGTATCGGGGTTTGGTGCTCAGCTCTGGCTCCTGACTCCGACTTCATGCTAATGCAGACCCTGAGAAGCAGCAATAATGCTGTAAGTAATTGCGTTCCTGCTACTCACATGGGAGACCTAGATTGAGCCTCCCCATCACTGTTCCACCCCTCTCCGCCTTTGCTGACTCTGCTGTTGTGGGTATTTAGGGAAGTGAGCCAACTCTTTTCTCTTTGCCTCTTAAATAAATCGGTAATCTTAAAGCATTGCCTGAAACTGTGAACTGGAATCTGTAGGAGTTTCAGTATTGCTGTCCACCTGGCTAAGCACTAGACCAAAACTAAATTTGTTTAGAATAATAGTGTTCTCTTCTAATTGTTTGAACTCTGACCAATCCTGTGATAAAAACTTCCAAAAATTACCTAATGTTGTGTATGTTTTTATTTTAACTTGAAAATGTATCTATAGTATGATTAAAAAATTTAGTTACATGTATGAAACTGTACCATAAAACATAAAAAATAAAAGAGGAAAAAACATTCAGAACATTAAAAAAATTCAGTCACATTTTCTTCTGCTGGCTTACAAATTTATACTCCTATTTACAGGCTTGCCAGGATAGCATATATATTTTTTTCTTACTGTACAGAAATTTGTTAATGTTTAAACGAGACAGGGGAGGAGGCTACTAAGTGAAAGGAAGCTTGCAAGTTTCATTTAAAATTTAAGAACTATTTTCAGGCAATTCAGAAATATCCTTTTTCATGAGGCAGGCAACACCTATGTCAATTACAAATATTTATTTTTTTAAATCTATCAAGCAGATTCTTCCAATTATTCCAGTCTATCACTTTTGTTTCCTCTTAACCCAATGAGGAATTTACTTAACCTCTCTGGGGTCATTACATTCACATTTTTTTAAAGCACTGATCTTTTCCTTAGTCTGTGTTAGCTTTCTTTAAAAAAAAAAAAAAAGCCGGAAAAAAGCCATTACTGGCTGTTTGTAAGAACAACATATAAGTCAAATGCTTTTTTCAGTTATGAGAATTAACACAGATTTTGGTTGGTCTTCTAGTGAGAAACTTCCAAGGTATGCCATAGTTCACAATTTTTAAAATGCAAAAAGTTGTAATTATTCCCTCTTTATAAATGATTGTATTAATAAAAAGACAATATAAACTGCTTTTAATTAAAAATAAATCGATAAAAGTGAATGGAAGCAGTTCTATTTGTAGTGTGAATATATATTTTTTAAATCTATAGTTTACATAAGTATTTGTATTTTTGAACTTTGAGAAAGCGTGTTTTCGACTTATGCTCAACTATAGATTTCATTCAACTGAAGCTAGAAGATATTCTCCCACTTTTTCTATAGTATCTCTCCCTCTTTTTAAAGATATATTTATTTTAATTAAAGTTGGTTACAGAGAGAAGGAAAGGCAGAGAGATCTTCTACTCACTGATTCACTTCCTAAATGCCCTCAATGGCGAGAGCTGGGGCACTCTGAAGCCAGGAACCGGGAGCCAGGAGCTTCTTCCATGTCTCCTGCGTGGGTCAGCGACTGAAAGACTCGATTCTTCTTCTGCTGTTTTCCCAGGGTGTAATAGGGAGCTGGATCAGAAGTGGAGCAACTGGAACTTAAATTGGCACTTATATGGGTTTCCAGCACCACAGGCCTCTGTGCCCAGTACCCTTTTCTGATTACTGATACTCTCCTATGAGCTGATTATCTGAATTATTTGACACCAAGAAAGCCCAAAATGTAAATGCTTTATATAGAACTCAGATAATATTAGGTATTTTTTATTAAAAAATGTTATTAAATTAACATCTGGTTAGTTTTTCATTTTTATGGGACGCTAAGGCTTACTTGTAAACTGTTGGTCTTTCCCTGTCAGGTAGTTACCAAGATCCATGGAATCCTAAAAAGGGCTGCGAATTGTGCTATATGAAATTGATTTTTTTCCCAACAGTGACAACATTAGCTGGGCTAGAGACATGAAAAGATTGTAACACTAATTATGCCAGCCAATAGCATGACTGCCATAAGAAACGAACTCCTTGGCAGGTGTTTGGCCTATTGGTGAAGGTGTCAATGTGGACACCCTCATCCCATATCAGAGTGCCTGGGCTGAAGTCCGAATTCTGCTCCTGATTCCAGCTTCCTTCTAATGTAGATGCCGTGATACAGGACGCTGGCTTAAGTCATTGGGTCCTTGTGAGTCACATGAAAGACCTGTATTGAATTCCTGGATCCCAGTATTGGCCTGCTAGTTCTTGTAAGCATTTGGGGAGTGAGCCAGAGGGTGAAAACTCTCAAGTAAAAATCTTATATTTTAGAAAACGTATCCATTTCCATTGGAAAGTCAGATGTACAGAGAGCAGGGACAGAGAGGAAGATCTTCCATCCACTGGTTCACTTCCCAAATGGCTGCAATAGCCAGAGCTGAGCCGATACAAAGCTAGGAGCTGGGAGCTTCCTCTGGATCTTCCATGTGGATGCATGGGCCTGAACATGTGGGCCATCTTCTACTGCTTTCCAAGATCATAAGCGGGAAGCTGGATGGGAAGTGGGGCAGCCAGGACATTAACTCGTGCCCATGTGGGATCCTGGCACTTACAAGGGGAGGATTAGCCAGTTGAACTATCATGCCTCAATTATAAATTTTAAAGATTTACATATTTCACTTGGAAAGACTGCATTACAGAGAGAGAGAGAGAGAGAGATTTGCTTTTCTGTCAACTAGTCACTCCCCAAATGGCCCCACTAGCCAAAGCTGACCTGATCTGAAGCAGAGAACCAGGAGCTTCTTCTGGGTCTCCCACATGGGTTCACAGTCCAAGGACTTGAGCCATCTTCTGTTGTTTTCCTAGCCATAAGCAAGAAGCTGGATCAGGAAGTGGAGCAACCAGACATGAACCACTGCCCGTAAGGGTTGCTGGTCCTGGTAGATGGAGGATTAGCCTTTTTATGGCACTGCACTGGCTGTAAAGTGAAAATTTTTAAAGCAAATAAAAATGAATTCCTTTGTTTTTATTAAAAGGTAGGCAGCATTTTTTCTTCTAGAGCTCTTTACTTTTATTTTGAAATTTATTTCTTTAAAAGGAGAGCGGGATAGGAAGGTGTCACTCTGCTCGCTAATTTACTCTCCAAATGCCCATAAGAGCCAGGGCTGGAGCTGGCTGGCACTGCAGCAGGGCCAAGCCAGGGAACTCAATCAGGTTTCCCATGTGGGTAGCAGGGACCCTGCTGCTTGAGCTGGTACTACTGCAGTAACAGAATCTGCATTAACACTAACCTGAAATAAAGAGCCAGAGCAAACAATGGAAATGAGGCGTTTCCATTCTGGTTGGGATGCAGGCATCTTAGCTGACAATAACTGACAGGCAAGACACCCACTGTAGAATAAGAGCATTTCACATTAATGTATGCCAGATAGCAAAATTTGAACATTTAAAGAAATGGCCTATTATTTGAAAATATTATATAATGCATATGTTGGTACCTCCTCATATTTTTATATTTGCTAACATCATTAATTCCTTTCTACTACTCTTACTAGCTTCTAAAGTATATTTGCAAGTTATAATTTAACCAACTGAAATTTTTTTTTTTTTAAAGATTTATTTTTATTATTTTTTATTGGAAAGGCGGATATACAGAGAGGAGAGACAGAGAGGAAGATCTTCCATCCGATGATTCACTCCCCAAGTGAGCCGCAACGGGCCGATACTATGCCGATCCGAAGCCAGGAGCCTCTTCCGGGTCTCCCATGCGGGTGCAGGGTCCCAAAGCTTTGGGCCGTCCTCAACTGCTTTCCCAGGCCACAGGCAGGGAGCTGGAAGGGAAGCTGGGCTGCCGGGATTAGAACCTGCGCCCATATGGGATCCCGGGCGTGCAAGGCGAGGACCTAACCACTTGCGCCACCGCGCCGGGCCCTAACCAACTGAAATTTAAAAAAAAAAAAATTTATTTGTAAAGACAGTAATGCAGGTGGTGGGGAGGGAGACAGAGAGAGAAAGGGAGATCTCCCATCTGCTGTTGACTCCTCAAATGGCCACAAAGCCTAAGGGTGGGTCAGGCCAAAGCCAGGAGCCTGGAAGTCCATCCAGGTCTCCCACATGGGTGCAGGGACCCAAGCATTTGAGTCATCTGCTGTTTTCCCAAGAGTATTAGGAGTAAAGCAGCCAGGACATGAAATTGTGTCCATGTGTGACACCGACATCATAGGTGGTGGCTTAATATTCTAAGGAGTCTTTATCTTTTAGAGAGATGCATTTAAAAGTTTACCCATGAAAAGATCTGCTGTCTTGGATTTTCTTTGATATAATCCAGGTAGAGGGCAGGGAAAAAGTGGGTAGAAATGTAAATCAAATAAAATTAACTAAGTGTTAGCTATTTGATAATTGTTAAAGGTTGGTGATGAGTATATCGAGTTTATTATGACGTGTGTGTGTATAATTGACAATTTTCATAATAAAAAACTTTAAGAAAATAAGGCTACTTGTTCTAATAGTTTTATTTAGTTTGGGTTCAAGATTTGCATAAAAGTTAAGTAGTAGATTTTCTGAGATTCACTTTTGTCCTTTCACAGTTAAATGAAAAATACTAAAAAGTAATTATAACAACTCTTTTTAAAAGACATTTATCTATATTATTTTTCTTATCATGTTCCTAGGAATATATTCTGTACTTGTGGCCTTGATGGCTGGCAAGGCAGAAGTAAGGTATAATCCTGCTGTTGTGCAACCCGCAATGATAGCGGAGTTCATCCGAGACCTTGGATTTGGAGCTACAGTGATAGAAAGCGCCAGTGAAGGGGATGGTGTTTTGGAACTTGTTGTAAGTAAGAATTTCTATGTGATCGATAAAAAGTTCAGAGAAGAATTTTGATGATAGTTAAAATATTGTAAAAATTAAAGTTGGAAAATGGATGGATAAAATTTAATGTGGCTGTCAGGCATGAAATGTAAGATAGTTGTCATATCTTTACTAAAAAACAAAACAAATAAAAAAAGAATTGAGTTTGAATGACTACATGAAATTCAAGTTTTAGAATATAGAAGAGGGAGCAAGATGTTTGATGCAGCAGTTAAGCCACACACCTACACTTCATATCCCACCTTGGTTCAAATGCAGGTTTCTCAGCTTGCAATGCAGCTGTCTGCTAAGGCATACTCTGAAGGCAGCAAATGATGACTCAAACACTTGCCCTTGCCACCGACATGGAAGGACTGGACTGAGTGCCCAGCTCCTGGCTTCAGCCCGACCCAGTCCTAGCTGTAGCACACATTCAGAGAGTGACCTAGCAGACAGGAATCTTTGTCTGCCTCTCAAATAAATGAAAAGAAATAAAATTAAAACACACACTTTAGAGTGATTCCTTTCTAGCAATGTGTGAGAATAAATTCCAAATGCCATAAAGACTTATCTTTTTTAAAAAATTATTTATTTATTTGAAAGGCAGTTACAGAAGGAGGAAGAGACAGAAAAAGAATGGATGGATGGAGAAAGAGAGGGAGAGAGAGGGAAAGAGTAGAAAGAAGGATTGAGGTGGAACTCTTCCATCTGCTGGTTCACTCCCCAAATGGCTTCAACATCCAGGGCTAGGCCAATCTGAAGACTAGAACTCCATTTGGATTTCACATATGGATGCAGAGGTCTAACCTTTTGGACTATCTTCTTTTGCTTTCCCACACACATTAGCAGGGAACTGGAGAAGAAGAGGAGTATCTGGGACAAGAACCCATGCCCATACTGCAGGGAGTAGCTTAACCCATTGCACCACAACATTTGGCACCCAAGACTAAAGGTTTTTTAAATATTTATTTCTTTTTATTAGAAAGGCAGATTTACAGAGAGGAGGAGGAAGGTGTCTCGTCCGATGATTCACACCCTAAGTGACCACAAAAGCCAGAGCTGAATTGACCCAAAGCCAGGAGCCTCTTCCGGGTCTCCCATGTGGGTACAGGGTCCCAAGGCTTTGGGCCATTCTCGACTGCTTTCCCAGGCCACAAGCAGGGAGCTGGATGGGAAGCAGGAGTGCCGGATTAGAACTGGGTAGGGCCCATATGGGATCCTGGCACATGCAAGATGAGGACTTTAGCTGCTAGACTACCACACCAGGCCCAAAACTTAAGTTTTATAAATGAGATCATAAAACAAGGTGTAAGGCATATAGTTCAAAATGGTCATTTTCTCCAACCTAGAAAATCATCTCCTAAGAGTCTTTCCTATGTAAATATTAACATATAAAAGGTTTTGCTTATTATATAATCTCAAACGCAAAAAATGAGAATCAACTTAAATATCCTTTAATAGGAAATGGTTAGCTTAATTATGTAGACATTGAATACAGCATGGCAGTTTAAAACGATGAAATAGTATTAACTGACAAGTAAAACTCTCTAGGATGTGTTATTCAGTTAAAACACATGAAAGTATACTGATTTTTTTAAAGATTTATTTATTTTTATTACAAAGTCGGATATACAGAGGAGGAGAGACAGAGAGGAAGATCTTTCACCCAATGATTCACTCCCCAAGTTAGCCGCAACGGCCGGCGCTGCGCTGATCTGAAGCCGGAAACCAGGAACCGCTTCCTGGTCTCCCACATGGGTGCAGGGTCCCAAGGCTTTGGGCCGTCCTCGACTGCTTTCCCAGGCCACAAGCAGGGAGCTGGATGGGAAGTGGAGTTGCCAGGATTAGAACCGGCGCCCATATGGGTTCCTGGCACATTCAAGGTGAGGACTTGAGCCGCTAAGCTATGCCGCCGGGCCCGAAGTATAGTAATTTGTATAAAATACCATTTCATGAGAAATGTGAATCAAGTTTTTTGTTTGTACATCTGCATATACACTTAGAGAAAGGGCATATTGGCTTATACACATGATTAACAGTCTTTATCTTAAGATGAGAGTAAGATTGGGGAAAAAAGCAAAGAGACCTCACATCTTTTGAAGATTGTTTTATTTATATTGCATAGTTTAAAATAAAATTTTAAGCTCATATCAAATGAAACCATGAAATTACTGAAAGAAATATTTGGAGCATTTAAAAATATTTTATTTTTTTTTAAAGATTTTTTTTTTATTATTTTTTCATTGGAAAGTCGGATATACAGAGAGGAGAGGCAGAGAGGAAGATCTTCCGTCCGATGATTCACTCCCCAAGTGAGCACAACGGCCGATGCTATGCCGATCCGATCCGAAGCCAGGAGCCTCTTCCGGGTCTCCCACGCGGGTGCAGGGTCCCAAAGCTTTGGACCGTCCTCGGCTGCTTTCCCGGGCCACAGGCAGGGAGCTGGAAGGGAAGCGGGGCTGCCGGGATTAGAACCGGCACCCTGCAAGGACCTTGACCACTGCGCCACCGCGCCGGGCCTAAAAAATATTTTATTATAAAACTATCTGACATACAAAAAAAGTCAAAGATTCTACACATTAACTACATTTTACAATTAATACTTTACTATGCTTGCTTTATAATATATGTCCATCCATTCATCATTGAGATAATTTGAGATTCACAATGAAGTTGCAAAAATAGTAAAGAATTTTTATGCAGTCTTAATCTAGTTTTCCCAATGGTAACATTTAATCCATCCTTAAAAATATATGTATTATAAGAGGAAAGACCTTTCTATATACAAATTCAAGAACCTAAAAGTTATTTTTTTGGGAGGAACATGACCAAAGTTAAAAGGCAGATAAAACAATTATAATTTGTATCATAGATGAATGCTGAATTTCACAATATGTGAAGAATTTTTATAAATCAGTAACAAAAGAGTCAGCAACCCAAAGGAAAGAGGCTAAAGGATTTGAGCTAACAGTTCACAGGAAAGTTAAAATGATACCTCTTAAACAAGAAAGGATGTTCAACCTCACTTGTAATGAGCAATGCATGCTGAAATTGTAATGAAATAAAATTTCCCTATATGATGTTGACAAATAGAAATAACAGTTTAAAAATTCACTTATTTCGGGCCCAGCGCGGTGGCGCAAGTGGTTAACGTCCTCTCCTAGCACGCCCGGGATCCCATATGGGCGCCGGTTCTAATCCTGGCAGCCCCGCTTCCCATCCAGCTCCCTGCCTGTGGCTCGGGAAAGCAGTCGAGGACGGCCCAAAGCTTTGGGACCCTGCACCCGCGTGGGAGACCCGGAAGAGGCTCCTGGCTTCGGATCGGCATAGTATCAGCCGTTGTGCTCACTTGGGGAGTGAATCATTGGACAGAAGATCTTCCTCTCTGTCTCTCCTCTCTGTATATCTGCCTTTCCAATAAAAAATAATAAAAATAAATCTTTAAAAAAAAATTCACTTATTTGAGAGGTAGAGGAAAACAAGAGAAAGAGAACAAGCTAGCTAACATCAGTTAGTTCACTCTTCAAATGCCTTCGAAGCCCAGAGGTGGGCTGGAGCCAAAATCAGAAACTAGGAATGCAATTCAGCTCTCCCTCCTACCCCGAGTGGCAGAAACCCAATTACTTTTTTCCCCTTCAAATATGTATGTATTTATTTGAAAATTAAGGTTGGAAGGGACAGCAGAGACAGAGAAGGATCTTCTATCCCCCGGTTCACTGCCCAGGAAGCCACAACACATGTGAATGGACTAGGCCAAAGCCAGGAGCACAGAACCCCACCTGGGTCTCTCATGTGGATGCAGGGGTCCAAGCACTTGGACCATCTTCTGGTTCTTTCCCAGGCACACAAACAGGAAATCTGATTGGAAGTGGAGCAGCCAGGACTACAGTGAGTACAGTGGCATCCCAGGTAGAGGCTTAATCCTGTGGACCTCAGCACTGGCCCCAAAGGAGTCTCTTAATGAGATGCTCTTCTGTGAAACCTATTGCAGCTGGAAATATATTTTGTCTGATGAAATAAAACAATTGTATTTTGATGGTCATATCTAAAGCACACTAGTCATAGGGATATTATCTTGAATAACAATCCGTGGTATAATAGTCCTTTTAGTTGAAAATAATAACTCTCATGTAATGGGTGAAAATTAATTTCCAGTAACAAAGGTTTTATCTTTTAACAGGTGAGAGGAATGACATGTGCCTCCTGTGTACATAAAATAGAATCTACTCTCACAAAACACAGAGGGATCTTCTACTGCTCTGTGGCCCTGGCAACAAACAAAGCACACATTAAATATGATCCAGAGATTATTGGTCCCAGAGATATTATCCATACAATTGAGGTAAGTGCCTACAATTTTCATTTCTGTGTTCTTGCCTATTAATCAGCACTGCTGGTTTGTAGCAGGTAGAGATAGTGACAAAAACAAATCTGATCACTTTTGATTACTCCAGAAAAGATCTGTCTCCATATTTAATGTAAATATATGTTTTCTTTCTTGGTCTTTGTTACAAAATTCTAGGCAATGGCACGTTTGTATTCTTAATCAGGAGTCAACTTAAGGTAGAACAACAATCACTTAAAATACATTTTTGGAAATGGAAATAAATTTTATTGTGAGTTAGATCCATGTTTATCACCAAGAAAGTCAACCATCATGTTAGGTTGATGTTAGGTTTAAAAAAAAAATGAAAAAGTGAATTAAAATATTTGAAAGACCAAACCTTTATCCTTGCAGCAAATTTATCCAATGTGTATGTGTGTGTGTGTGTTTAAATATTTTTAAAATTTTAATAGATGTGAAGGGGCATTTAAAATGTAGGAGTGTTGTAAAATTGATCTTGTGATGATCTGGAGCGTATTAATAGTTCAGGTTCTATTCAGTTCAGTTCTATTTTTCTTCCTGTTGTTGATTTTGTTTTATGACTTTTCATTTAAGGGTAATGTATAGTAACTGTGTAATAGAGACTGTCATAGACAGATGTGAAGCTACCATGCAGTTTGCATCTCTACTTCCAAATCAAAGATGGACTTCCAATGCAGCTGTTAAATATGTCTTGACAATAGGATGCTGGTCTCTGCTATCCGTAACTACAGTGCCAGGACACACTTAAATAGCAGAATGATGGACTTGTGACTGATTGTGAAGGACTATATTTTTGTAATAATATAGAGGAAATCAGTGGATGGGGTGCAGGGATTTGGGGTGGAAAGAAATCCCAGAGCCTATGGAACTGTATCATAAAATAATGAAATAAATAAATAAATTTTAAAAATAGTTCAGGTAAGATGCTGCTAGTGTGGGTAGCAGTAGCATTAGCAGCTTTATCAAGTTAGCATCACTGAGTACCTATATCACAGGGACTCAGTCATGCATGAGTCCATAGTTTCTACGTCTTCATTCTCACCACAGTGTCATCATCTTTATTTTGGAGGTGAGGAAACTCAGGTTAAGAGATGTAATGTGTTCCAAGTCACATAGCTAGTATCTGTAGTAACTGGAATTTGAGCCTCATAGCCATCTCCAAAGCACATGCGTGCTTTTTTCGCTGTGCTGTGCTGCAAGCAGGTGTAAGGAAGCAGCGTTTTTCGCATGTTATTGCCTGTGATCAGATGAATATTGCTTAAGCATTTCCTTTTTGTACTTCACTTTATTGGAGAAAAGGAATTTTGTTGGTGTTTTTCTTATAGAACAAAAGTAGAGACTATATATGCAAGACATTGAGTGATGTATTTAGTGTGTGGTAGCTTTCTCTTTTGTAAAAATACTTATTTGTATTTGAAAGGTAGATTTACAGAGAAGGAGACACATAGAGAGATCTTCCATCTACTGGTTTGCTCCCCAAATGGTTACAAAGACCCTTTTGAAGCCAAGAGCCAGGAGCGTCTTCCAGGTTTTGCACATTGGGTGTGAGGACCTTAAGACTTGAGGACATCCTCTGCTGTTTTCCAAGGCCATAAGCAGCCACTGGGACTTAAACTGGCACTCATGAAAAGCCAGCACTGTACATGGAGGTTTAGATTGCTATACCACTGCTGTAGCCCCACAACTAGCTTTTGTGTCCTATTAATGAGAAGCTCTATCAAAGACAACTGCACTTAAAGAAAAATTTCATTTTGAGGAATATAAAATCTATAATAATTAGAGTTAGGAAATATGCATTTCTTTGATGAAGGATTAGAAGCCAAGGTAATCAAGAACAGAGAGCATGCACTTGCATGCTTGCACTTTGAGAAATCATTGAACTGAAGTGTTCTTAGTTTCTCTATGTAATACTTAGGCTTTAAGTAAAATCATTTTATTTTCTCATTTATTTCCTTCAGAGCTTAGGTTTTGAAGCTTCTTTGGTCAAGAAGGATCGGTCATCAAGCCACCTAGACCATAAACGAGAAATAAGACAGTGAGTACTTTTGGGGTGTTGATGAAAAACAGATTTGGGCTCCTTGTTACAAATTTAATGTCCTGTTAGTATGTCAGTTTTTATAACATCATCCTTATTACTGAGTCAAATGTCACTATGTATGTTTATAATCGCTCTTTAACCATTAGTTACTCACTGATAAGATTTTTTTTCTTTATTTCTTTTTAATATAAGATGGAGACGGTCTTTCCTTGTGAGCCTATTTTTCTGTATTCCTGTTATGGGGCTGATGATATATATGATGGTTATGGACCACCACCTTGCAACCCTGCATCATCATCAGAACCTAACTAATGAAGAAATGATCAAGAGGCATTCTTCTATGTTTTTGGAGCGCCAGATCATGCCAGGATTGTCCATTATGAATTTACTGTCCTTCCTTCTGTGTTTACCTGTCCAGGCAAGTGAAATATTAGCAGGTATATGTGGTAACAATGAAAACTAACCAAAATGTGACAGGTGAAATTATTTTCTTTTATAAAAATGTAAATTAGCCAGAAGTTTAGTCATCTTATGCTAGATGCTATCATTTTTATAATCTAAAACTGAATGTTTAAACATGTGATAGATTCCATTTAACCCTAAAAATATTGTTTCATGACAGTGTAGAGAACAAGAGCTCACATTTTCTGGATTTGGCATTTATGAGTATAACCACACATAGCTTAACATTTCTAAATTTGCCACTACCACTTAAATTCAGCCATACTCTTGAGATAATATTTTACTGTGGAATGGAATACTTCTATCTAATAAGTCATTCATCTTATCTGATCCTTTTAAAAGGCAATAGTGATTCTAACATCATCTTAGCATGTTTATAATCCAGGGATGGGAAACATCTGGCCTCTGGGCCATTTAAGGCCCATGAAATTATTTGGTCTGGCCCAACCAGAGCAACAGCTGATGACATATAAAATTCAATAAATATACAGTAGGCTAATTTTTAAATTGATAATTTTGTTTGGTTCATGAATGATGTTATAAATATCCAAATGGTCCTTGGCATAGAATAGGTTTCCTATGCCTGTATGAAAAATAGAGCAACAAGAATATCCAGCAGCTTGTAACATACTGCTTAGGGTGAGCTTCAGAAAGGGGAAGAAATCATGATAGAAAATGTTATTCTTTTCCTTATTCTCATTTTTGCACCATATGCTATTACAGAGTATCCATTGGGCCTTAGGGACTGCAAAGCATTTTGAGTCCTGCCTCTGGACACATGTCTGCTAAAACACAAGTAACTTTTGTTTCAGAGTAAAATCCCAGAAGAGAATATTGATAGTTTGTCTTAAGTTATTGAGATGCGTAGCTAAATTTCAGTATTTTAAAAAATTCATTGATTGCTGTTTTTACCTTGCAGTTCTTCGGAGGCTGGTACTTTTACATTCAGGCTTACAAAGCGCTGAAGCATAAGACAGCAAATATGGACGTACTGATTGTGCTGGCTACCACCATTGCATTTTCTTACTCCTTGGTTATTCTTCTGGTTGCAATGTATGAGAGGGCTAAAGTGAACCCCATTACTTTCTTTGACACGCCTCCTATGTTATTTGTGTTTATTGCACTAGGCCGATGGCTGGAACATATAGCAAAGGTAAAGTAAGAAAGGTGACATTTATCAAAATCTTGAGTGAATAAATGTTCCTAATATTTTTAGACAAGTTACTGCTAATATATACTAATTATGTAGTTAACCAGTTGCTGGAGAAGTATTTTTGTTTTGACAATATTTTACATTATATCCATTATGTATGTCTATTAAAAGATGTACCAAATTTATGGAATCAGTATTGTAGCTAGCACCATATGATCATGGGTTATTTCAAGAGAGAGACAGACATTTGAGACCTACTTACCATGTATTTATAGCACATCATTAATTGAAAACTTGATGTGACCATATGGTTTAAAATAATGAAAGAGATGGGGCATTTGGCCTAGTAGTAAAGTAGATGCCAGTATCCTGTATTAGAGTCCTTGGGTTTGATACCTACCTCTACCTTGGGACTTAGCTTCCTGCTAATTGCAGAGCCTGTTAGGCAGTAGTGGAAGCTGTGGTATTTCGGTCCCTGCCACCCACATGGAAGACATGAATATAGGTCCCAGCTATTGACTTCAAACCTGGTCAGTGGCTGTTTTGAATATTTGAGAAGTAAACCACCAAGATAGCAGATTTGTTATCTGTCTCTCAGCTCCTCAAATAAGCAAAAATACCTTAACAAAATATTTTTTTAATATTTTAAAAGATTAAATAATGTTGGAAAAAATTTACCTATAGTACCATGCTGTAATATAAATGGCTTTTTAAAAAGAAAAGATATATTTATTTACATAAAAGGCAGAGTAACAGAGAAAGGGAGGGATGGAGAATGGAGAGAACTTCTTTCATAAGCTGCCTCATTCTCCAGGTGGTTGCAATAGCCAGGACTTGCCAAAACCAAGAGCCAGAAGCTGCATCTGGATATCCCTCACAGATGCAGGGACCCAAGCAGTTGGACCATCCTCCTGTGCTTTCCCCAGCCATTAGCAGAGAGCTGGAACAAAAGTAGAGCAGCTTGGACTCAGACTGGCGCCCATATCAATTGCTGATAATACCAGCAGTGGCTTAATTCACTGTGCTTCAAAGCTGCCCTCAGGCCCAATATAAATCACTTTCTAATCTTGTTTATATACCTTTCTTTTAACAGAATCATACACATAGCAGACATACCAATTTGTACCCATATTCTATAATTTTCCCATTTTTGTTGTCTGAATAATTGATATTGCTGAATAATAAGTACATCAAATCAGTGTGCTCTAATTTGCCAGACTATTCTTGTTTTGTTCTCAGATTGCTTCTGATTTGTTTTATTTTAGATTATCGTATTGAATATATTTGCATTTAATAGGCAATTCCATTGAAGTAGTATAGAAGAAATTTCAAAGAGTATGATTACTGAGTTTAAAGGGCTTATATTGTGTGATTCATGCTGTGATAACAGTTTTTGCCAACCAAGGGTATGAAACTGTCATGTGTCTAAATCCTTGCTAGGTTAATAGGCATCAAATGGGGTTAATGGGTTGCTTTGGTTTGCATTCCTTACATTAATAGCATTCGGTATTTGTAATGTCCTCATCGTTGCTTTGCTTTTCTATGCCCTTTTGTGTCTGTTGAGTTGATAATGCTTTTCTTATCAATTTACTTTGTTACTTCTTCCTAAGTTGTATCTGTTAATATTTTTAGTATTTTGTTTCATATTTTTTGAAATGATTCTTTTTTTCTGGTTTGAACAAATTGTATCACTAAAGCTGTCTTTTGGGGGTAGATGTTAAAATTATTTCTTCATTTTAGTGAGGGCCTGAACTTTTTCTTTCTTATTAGCATTTTCACTCTTGGTTTCCATTTATAGGGGAAAACATCAGAAGCTCTTGCAAAGCTAATCTCACTACAAGCTACAGAGGCAACTGTCGTAACTCTTGACTCTGATAATATTCTCCTGAGGTACTTACCTTCATTCTTTTCTCTCCTTTTGAACGTTTTTACACAGAAGTGGAGGAAAAGAGTATCACAACCCACCTCATCTCTCAGATTTAAGTTATTCAGGTTTTGCAATACTTCATCTATATATTTTTCTTTGTTATTGTAATAGTATTTTAAAGCAAACTCATGATACAATCTTACTGCTAACTTTCTATAATGTCTCTTTAAGAAGGCACATATTCTTATATAATGATCATACTGTGTGGCACCTACCAAAGTGAACAGTAATCCCTTGTCATGTGATATCTATCCATATTCGAATTTCTGCTTTTGTCTTCAAAATGTTTTAAACCCCTTTGCTTGAAATGTAGTTTAAATAAGGACCATAGATCATTGTTACATTTATTTTAATCTAAAACACTCTCACCCATTCTCTCTCCCCTCCTCCCACTAATACAGTTAACTTGATGAGCAAATAGCCATTACTTGTTCTGTAGAATAGCCCCCATTCTGAATTTGTCTCTTTGCTTCCTTGTGGTGTCATATAACTTTTCCAAAAGTCATGTTATTTGTGGTTTGGAAGTCAGGGCTAAAGTCCTGCCTAGATTTTATTCTTTTAGTTCTCATTGTAACACTCCAAAAAAAATTTTAGGTAAATTTATATAATAAATAAAATACATAGTTAAATGCATTGAATTATTTCTGAAAGCTTTTACTTATTGATTTAATTAATATCCAACAAATATTTAGCATACCTTCTATGTGCTAGGTATTGTGCTGTTGACCAGCAGTGAGCAAAACCAATGTATTAGTTTCTGGCTTAAAGACTTCTTTTAGCTTTCACTGGTAGTCATTATGGTAGTAATTATCATAAACTTGGCATGCACTAAAAAGATTTTATGGAAATGGGACGGTGAGAAGCATATTGTCATGGTGATTTATATATTAACTCATATCCAGTGAAGAACAAGTGGATGTGGAACTAGTGCAACGCGGAGACATCATTAAAGTAGTTCCAGGAGGCAAATTTCCAGTGGATGGTCGTGTCATTGAAGGACATTCCATGGTGGATGAGTCCCTTATCACAGGTATATTCTTTCAGAAGATCATGACATGAAAGTGAAATAAATTTAAAATGTTAATGACAAACATGAAAATGAAGGGTTTTTTGGTAAAAAAAAAAAAAGTATCAATAAGTAAGTTATGAACAAAGCAAATTCAGTTTGTTATTCAGTCTGTATGAAAAACAGCCATCAGATTAACTTTGTGATGTTAGTTATGCTCTTGAAGGCTCTTTTCACTTAAGATTATTAATTACTAGAATGCTTAATGAAGGAAGTTTTATCAGTGTCCTGTGGAAACTGCTTAGACTTCAGCAGCTTTTCCTGGGCAGATATCTATTCCAGGTTCTTGCCCTAAAAAGTCTGGCCTACTCTGAGCTAAAATAGGACTCCAGATTTTTCACATCAGGGTCCGCTCTGAGAGGGCAGCCCTGAAGTAGCTTAGGAGATCTTAGGTCCCACCTCAGCGTCAGGTTAGTTCCAGAAGAGATTCAGCTTATGGACCAAGTGGAAATAAATTGTGCCTCTTGTGTTTGTGAATAAGGGTGTTTTAGGTGGGACATTTCTTAGTTCTGAGGGACTTTCTTACGCATTTTAGTACAGTGTGTTGTCCCCAATCCCGGCCCACTAAAGTGTAGGCTCAGTACCCCTATAGCCCTCTAGTCAAATAAAGACAAAACCCCTTCTGACGTTTCTAAATGCTCCTGGAGAACAGGTTGAGATCCAGTGATCTAGGACTACAGTGGAGTTCCACGGGATCTACTGCTCAGAGCTAACATAGTAGACTTTACAGTTTAAAACGGAGGTCACTCTTTTTGGCCTAGAACAGGCATAAGGGGAAAAGAAAGTCAGCTTTCACCTGGCCGTTTGTCCAAGTTATAGGTCAGGAAGCAAAACCTACTTTCAGATATTTTTGACAACTAACAAATGATGGTGTGTGCCAAGATAGTGATCGCTTATGTTCCTTAAATCCCTCTTTACTGTTTATTCAGGGGAGGCAATGCCTGTGGCTAAGAAACCAGGCAGCACAGTGATTGCTGGTTCCATTAATCAGAACGGGTCACTCCTTATCCGGGTAACCCATGTTGGAGCAGACACAACCCTTTCTCAAATTGTCAAACTTGTGGAGGAGGCACAGACATCAAAGGTAACAGAACTGTCTAGGAGAAGCAAAGTATTTTCTTTAAAGTCTTCTCAGTCTAAAGCATGACCTGGTTTTTATGTTTTCCTTTGGTAAATGTTAGTTTAAAGTTTATCAAAAAAGCTCTTTTTTATCAACTACCCATAGAAAAGGAGACTTTGATTGCTCTTATTATTTTTTAATTCTAGGCTCCTATTCAGCAGTTTGCAGACAAACTCAGTGGCTACTTTGTTCCTTTTATTGTTTTTGTTTCCGTCGCTACCCTGGTGGTATGGATTATAATTGGATTTTTGAATTTTGAAATTGTGGAAACCTACTTTCCTGTAAGTAACTTGTAACAGTTCTTTACTATATGCAGAATAATTTATGAATCTTTTGTATGCATAATTAAATAGATAGCTTTAATAATTGCCAGTATCTTAAAGGGGTTAAGAATGAGGGAAATGATAAGAATAATATTTGCATTTCTGTAAGTTAAAAAAAAAAGATTTTCTTTGGGGAAATTTTTTTCATTGTGACTTTTCCAAAAGTAATACTGAACTTTAGTGTATTATGCATAGGCTCATTTCTGGCATGATTTTGCTTTCACAAAGAACTGTGGCTACATTGAAGAAAACCTCAGCCATCTACTTTTCCTCTAGTCTTAGACCCGTTAGGTGCTCTCTAAACTTCAGTTTCTTTATTTATAGAGTTAGATCTTAATAATTCCTTTTGTTTGTAACTTGCAATTGTGGTGAAGGTTAAATAGGATATTAGCAATGTCTTGCAATGTACCACTTTATAAATATAAGGTATTATTAGTCCCGTTTTTATTGGAAAGGCAGATATAGAGAGAAGGAGAGAGAGAAAGATCTTGCATCTGCTGATTCACTCCCCAAGCAGCCCCCATGGCCGGAGCTGAGCTGATCCGAAGCCAGGAGCCAAGAGTGAGGAACCAGGAGCTGCTTCCGGATTTCCCATGCAGGTGCAGGGTCCCAAGGCCTTGGGCCCTCCTCTACTGCTTTCCCAGGCCACAAACAAGGAGCTGGATGGGAAGTGGAGCAGCCAGAATGCGAATCTGCACCCATATGAGATCCTGATGTATTCAAGGCAAGGATTTAGTCACTAGGCTACTGTGCCAGGCCCTATTATTCCCTTTTCACCATGCTGATGTTCTCTGAAGTGTGGTGTCATAAAGTGGACCTAGACTGTAACTAAAATTAGACATATAGTCTTTAAGGCACCTGAGTTCTCTTACTGTGAATTTCATCATCTGCTAAAAAGGGATGATTAAACCTGTGTTACAAGATCGGAATTAGTGTGATAGAAAGCAGCTTAGGTGAGAAGATAAACATGATAGATACAGAAGCATCAGCTTGGCTGTGTCTGAAGGTCCCCTCCGACTCTGTTTCTGCGTAGCTCCTTGAGATGCACATAATTTAAATATTTGCGAACTCAAGAATAACTTGACACTATAAAACTATCACTGTAGAGAAAGTCATCCTTTGTGGTGTTTGTTGTTTTTAAGATGCCATAGTGTACAGTGTCATGCTGGCTTGCTGTCTCAGTTAAAGAGCAGGTAGGATCACAACAGAACTGTGTGCTCCTTGTTATGGTCATTACAATAATGTCAAATCTTATTTATGTGCACTACATCAGTGAAGATCTACTGAACAGCAGGATTGTTGGAAAGTATTTTGGAATGTGTAGCCTTCTGGAATGTGTCCCCTGAGTTCAGGGTTTATGAAGTCTAAGGAAATTTTCTCAGGAAGTCCCACTTGTATTTTCCCGTATGTGTAGAAACTCAAGGTGACTAAGAGCTTACGTAGCAAATGTTAGGTTCACGTCTTATATCTAAGTTTTTTTTCCTGAAATCTGATTAAGCTCCCTTTATATACTGCATTATTTATTTCATTGTTTTTCAATGACATCAAAGGCACCTTTATGTCTTAAGTATGCAAGAGGTTCAGAATTCTATTTGTTCAGGATCAAATTTGTTAAAAAATTGTGTACCATGTTTTCAAATGTTTCTAAAGTCCCTGATCGAAAGCACTTTGCTTAGTACGAGACAAGAAAAGAATAAGGTCTTTTATTTCTTCCAGAGTTTGTAGCTCTGAAATTATAAAAAAATGAAATTGTGATTTTAGGGCTACTACTTGTTTACCAGTTACATCCTAATTTCCTATATTCAAAAGGAGAGTTTGCTAGCTAGTAATTAAAACCTAGGTTTTCCGCATCAGATCCCATCTAGTTGACAATTAGGCAGAATGTACAATTTTAAAATTGTAGTTTTGGGCCTGGTATGATGGCTCAATTAGCTAATCTTCCCCTTACGGGCATTGGAATCTCATATGGGTGATGGCTTGTGTCCCAGGTGCTGCACTTCCCATAGCTCCCTGCTCGTGGCCTGGGAAAGCAGCAGAAGACGGCCCAAAACCCTGGGACCCTGTGCCCACATGAGAAACCCAAAAGTAGCTCCTGGCTCTTGGCTTTGGAGCAGCCCAGCTCCAGCAATTATGCCCATTTGAGGAGTGAACCAGTGGATGGAAGATATTTGTCTTTCCTTCTCTCTGTAAATCTGCCTTTCCAATAAAAGTAAACAAATCTCTTAAAATGTAGTATTATTATCATTATTTCTTTACCTATTTAAAAATGTATTATTTGAAGGCAGAGTGACAGAGATGTTTCACTAGTTTGCTTCCCCAGAATGCCCACATGAACTAGGGCTGGGAAAGACTGAAGCCAGCAGCCTGAGCTCTATCTGCGTCCTCCACGGGGGTGGCCAGGCCCTGAGCACTTAGACCATGATGCACTGCCTGCCGGGTGCACTGATTGGGAGCTGGCTGTAGGAGCACATTAGCCAGCCAGGATGAGAAGCAGGTACTCTGCTATGGGATATGGACATCTCAAGTGATAACTTAAGCTTCTGCGTCACAATACCTGCCCCAAATTGCAGTTTCATTTAAATATGTTTCAGCTTTGTTTGTTTTGTTTTCATAGAGCTGTAAATCAGTAACCAAAATGTATTCCTCTCTTTTAAAGGGCTACAATAGAAGCATCTCCCGAACAGAAACTATAATACGCTTTGCTTTCCAAGCTTCTATCACAGTTCTTTGTATTGCATGTCCATGTTCACTGGGACTAGCCACTCCAACTGCTGTGATGGTGGGCACAGGAGTAGGTGCCCAAAATGGAATACTAATCAAAGGTGGAGAACCATTGGAGATGGCTCATAAGGTAAGGCAGTCCCCAGAACTAAGAATTCTCCCATCCAAACTGGCAGCACTCCTGTTGAGAAACAGAATTTTAAGATACTCCACCTGATCCGTAAGCTGAGCCTCTTCTGGCCAGCCTGAGCTATGTAAGATTGAGGTGAGAAAGGTGGTGTTATGGTTCTGCTCCGAACTGGCCTAACTTATCTAGGATCTCTAAAAGTTACTCTAGAACTATTCTCTTACAATGGACCCTGATATGGAAAATCTGGAGTCCCATCCTAGCTCCTAACAGAATAGTTTTCATTGGGCAGGAAGGCAGAGTAGATATTTGCCCAGGAAGATTTATGGCAGGCTTCTAACCTACTGTATGATTCTGTGCTCCTGTTCTTCAGCAGGAACTGGCTCTTTTGCTTTTGCTGCCACCAGCTGGCTATTTGCAGCTATGTTAGAAATAGAATTATTTTCTCTGACTTCTCTGTTAGGATTACCATAATAATCCCAATTGCTAATGACTAAAACCATGTTCATATTATTAGGATATATGCTACATACAGATGTATATATTAAACATACACCACAGCAAAATATGTAGAACCTCATATAGCCAGTGAATATAATTTCGTAGATTTTTTTTTCAAATTTTGTTATTTTGGTATAGTTTCAAACTTAAAAGCATTAAGACTACTACAGAGAGCTCCTGTATACCCTGACTGAAGCTTTGAAACTATTGTCTAAGAACAAGATGATTTTCTTTACATATATATGTATATATATGTATATCTGTCTGTGTGTGTGTGTATATATATATGGTTGTATTCATGTGTGTAAAAGGCAAAGCAACAAGGAGAAAAAGAAAGCCAAGATGGAGAAAGCATGTATCCCCATCCACAAGGTCAGTCCCCAACATCACAACAGCCAGGTGTTGGCCAAGCCAAAGCTTGGAGCTAGGAGCTTCAACCAGGTCTCCCACATGGGTGACAAGGGCCCAAGTACTTGGGCCATCTTCTGCTGTCTTCGCAGGCACATTAACAGGAAGCAGGATGAAGCCAGAAGTCAAACCATCACTGTGATATAATTTACTGGTGTTGCCAGTTATGGCTTAGTCACTGTGCCAATAGCATCAGCCCCAAGGACATTTTCTTATGTAACCACAGTGCAATTTTCAAAATCAAGATATTAGTATTGGACCTGGCACGGTAGTCTGGTGGCTAAAGGCCTCAGCAAGCATGTGTCGGAATCCTGTATGGGTGCTCATTCATGTCTTGGCTGCTCCACTTCTGGACCAGCACTCTGTTAATGACCTGGGAAAGCAGTAGAGGATGACCCAAAGCCTTGGGACCCTGCACCCATGTGGGAGACCCGGAAGAAGCTCCTGGATCCTGGCTTTGGATTGGCTCAGCTCTGGCCGTTGTGGCAACTTGGGGAGTGAACCAGCAGACGGAGTGAACCAGCAGTGTGTTGTAAAAAAAAAAGACGGAAGGATCTTCCTCTCTGTCTCTCCTTCTCTCTGTGAATCTGACTTTCCAATAAAAATAAATAAATTTTTTTAAAAAATTTAATACTGACATAATACTGTTAACAAATCTGTAGTCTTTGTTTCACTTTCCTCAGTTGTCTCTATAATGTGCTTTATAATCCAGTTATTTTTCCTGTCAAAAGCATGCTTTGTGTTTATTTGTTGTATTTCATGTTGAGTCCTCGGGCTGTTATTTTTACCAGGTTTGTACTTAGAGTTTACTGTGATAGAAATGCTTTCCTTTCCCTCTTTGGACTGTTGGTCATACTGATTCCCAGAACTGTCTCAGTCCAACTTCTTGCAAAGACTGAGTAAAAGCAAAGTTTTTCAGCAGGGCTTCTCTGTGCTTGCTTCAAGCGACTCATTTACTTCCCCCTTTATCATCAGCATCTACCGACTGCCTAGATTTCCCCCACAGATCTTAATTTGATTAGTATTAAAAGCCTTTCTGTCTTCCCTGATAGCACTAGAACAGCTCTTCGTTACCCCTCAACAGCCAACCCTTCACAGTGAGCTTTCGTGCCCTGGCACACTGGTGTCGGCACAGTCGGGGTAGTAGGTGATGGCAACAGAGTATTGATACGTGTATTTCTTGTCTTCCTCTTTCTTCTCCCAAAAACAGTTTACAAAGCCAAATTAAATCAGATGTCAGTTTATTAAGAAACAATATAGTAGTCTAAGAAAATCTTTTACTCATTTCTAAAAAATTGATGCTCCACATTACCAAGTCATATGGTTGCACCATATTTTAATTTTAATTTTTATTTTATTTTAATTTCCTTGCAGGTAAAGGTAGTGGTATTTGATAAGACTGGAACCATTACCCATGGAACCCCAGTAGTAAATCAAGTCAAGGTTCTAGTGGAAAGTAACAAAATATCACGCAGTAAGATTCTGGCCATTGTGGGAACTGCAGAAAGTAACAGCGAACACCCTCTTGGAGCAGCTGTAACCAAATACTGCAAGCAGGTATGCTTTTTTCCATGTTTTTTTTAATATCATTAATTTCTGTAGGAAGTATCCAGAAAAATCCCAACTGCTGTTTGATAATGATTTAGCTATACGGTTGATATGAGGCTGGAGTGACTTGTCTTTTGTGATTTAATATGAGGAGAATTGGAAAATTCATGGAAAATGTATGTTGTAAAAAAAAAAGTCTGGTTTTCAATTTTCTTGAACCAAAATAAATCCACCTTTTAATCTCATTTTCAGTGAACTTTTGCAGTACCCTTGTTTGACTTTTTTCTTTATGCAGATGATAAAAAAAACCATAAATTAAGTACAATCTTAGTAGACGATAAGCCCCGGTGTCATAAAAAATTAAAATGGAAGTGATATATATTATTATATTATATATTATTATATATAATAGTACATTATATTATTATATTATTGTATATTATTATAATATATATTTTCCTAATATATATATTAGGAAAATGTAGATGGTTCAGAGAATTACAACATGAAAAATGAAAATCTCATTCCTGATCACTTCTCCAAGGTTTAACAATTGTTATCCTGTTAACAATGTTTTTAAATAACAGTTTTCTTGAGTTGTAGCTTATATGCTGTAAAGTTTAATAATTTTAGCATATGTGTAAAGGTATATATAGCACAACAATTTTAATTAGTAAGCCAGATTTATCATCTCTCATTTATTAAACCTTACCACAGAGAAGACATAACTACAACCAGGCATTGGTACCTTGTCTTATTTTATGGTACTTAGAGATCTACTCCATTGTTTATTAAAACTATGAAAGCTGCACTGTATTCTGTTCTCTGATTTTTTGCTGCTTATCGTGAACCTTAATATCCTTGTCAGCTTTTGCACAACTATGTCTAAGTGCCTGTCCATGCACTTGTTAGAGCAAAAGATGTGTGCAGTTAAATGTTTTTGGATATTAATACCCATATGAAACATTGTACCAATTTGTACCTGCACCAAAAGTTGTCGGAGTTTATTTCTCCACATTCTTACCAACTTTAGTTTTTGTAATTTAGTAAGCAGAAAGTATTAACTGGTGGTTTGCTTTGCATGTCCTTAATTAGGAATGAGGTTGAATGTCTTTTTTTCTGTTTATTGGCCACTTGAATTCATTTTTTTCTAACTTGCTTTGTATTCTTTGCCTATTTTTCTTCAACTTGTCTTTTTTTACCTTTGGTTTATGTAAGTTCTTAATGAGTTATCTCACTTTAGTTTTATATCCAAACTGTGGCAGTTTTACCAGTCATGTAGCTGTTTTTACTTTGTTCTTTGCTTTTTCCCAATTAATGGGCTTCTTTATGTCCATGTCAAATGACAGAGTGGATGAAGATACAAAAAGCAAGCAAACATTGATGCCCTCAGAGTTCTTTAGCTTACTGAAGACCCAAAAGCAGTCTAAAGTTGACTGTGGTAATTAAAGGCCCTGTTTCATGGTTACCGCTTGTCCTGTATTGAATAGAAAATTTGAATTGATGGTATAATTAAAAACTGTACTGTGTAATTAAAAACTATAATGTAATTCTGTATCCAAAAAATCAAGAGAATATTAACAAAACTTCCGTGTTTTCTAGCTGGTTTAAAGAGGAGAAGTGAAATACATGCTTGTGAGACTCTTGTTTAATTATAGATGTTATTTGTATACAATACTCTGCTCTTCACCCTTGTCAAAATCCACCCTGACAAAGGCAATAAGTGGCAGTTTCATTCTGAACATTTAGAATTCTGCCAGCATGTAGCGTGTTTCTAAACATCGAGAATTAGTGAGAACAAATGTTTCCTCCTGCTGATGGATGGCTCTGGATTATCAGTGCAGCAGAGGAACCCATTCTGTTTCTTTTTATTAGGAGCTGGACACTGAAACCTTGGGAACTTGCATAGATTTCCAAGTTGTGCCAGGCTGTGGTATTAGCTGTAAAGTAACCAATATTGAAGGTTTGCTACGTAAAAATAACTGGAAGATAGAGGAGAACAATATTAAAAATGCATCCTTGGTTCAAATTGATACAACTAACGAGCAGTCACCAACTTCATCTTCCATGATTATTGATGTGCAGAACTCAAGTAAGCTAATTTTTTTGTATACTAATTATGGGACAATTTGAACAGATGTCTGACTTTATAATCCTAAATTGTTGAATGAAAAGCAAAGACTGGTGTCGTTTCATTCAGTTTTATCATAGGCTCCTTTTTTTAGATTCTATGTTTTTAAATTAATTAATTAATTGATTTTATTATTCTATGATACAGTTCCATAGGCTCTGGATTTCCCTTCCTCCCTCCTCTACCCACCCCCCAATTTTCCCTGTATTGTTACAATAGAATAACCCTTCACAATCAACCATAAGTCCATCATTCTGTTATTTAAGTGCATCCTGACATTGTAGGTGTGGACAATGGTGGAGTCCAGCATCCTACTGTCAAGATACATTCAATTGTTTAGTTGGGAGTCCATCTTTGATCTGGAAGTAGAGATGCACACTGCACTGCATCCTCACATCTGGATATGATAGTCTCCATTACACAGTCACCACACGTCCCCTTAAATGAAAAGCCACAACAAAATCTACAACAGAGAGAAAAATAGAAAATTTACAACATGAAGTTAAATAACATGTTACTGAATGACCAATGTGTAGCTGACTAACTGAAAAAGAGAATTGAAGAACTTATCATGGGCTACTTAAAAAAAAGAAGAAAGATTTATTTAGTTGAGATGCAGTAAGAGAGAGAGAAAAACTTCCATTTCTGGTTCTCTCCCCAAATGGCCATAACAGCCAGGGCTTGGCCAGTCTAAAGCCAGGGCCAGGAACCTCATCCAGGCCACCCACATGCGTGGCAGGCACCCAAGTGGTTGGGCCATCTTCTTTCCCAGGGGAGCATTAGCAGGGAGCAGGATCAGAAGTGGAGCAATTTGAACACCAACCAGTACCCATATGGGATGTTGACATCTCAGATAGCAGCTTAACGCACTGTGCCACTACACTAGTTGCTGCTATAGGTCTTCTTTTCACTTCACTCAAGTTACTTGAGAAAACAAATGCACATTGGGTGATACAGTTCACTTTTGCCTGATCCTCTGTGATTTTTCATTTATTCCTCTCTATAACTACTATAAACCTCTTATATCTTTTTTTTTAAAAAAATAAGATTTGTTTACTTTTATTGGAAGGGAAGATTTACAGAGAGAAGGAGACACAGAGATCACCCATCCATTGGTTCACTCCCCAAGTAACTACAATGGCTGAAGCTGGGCTGGTTTAAAGCCAGGAACCACGTGCTCCTTCCAGGGCTCCCACATAGGTGCAGAAGCTCAGGCACTTGGGCCATCCTCTGCTGCTTTCACAGACCATTAGGGAACTAGATTGGAAGTGGAGCAGCCGTGATCCCAACTGACACCCATATAGGATGCTGGTAGAGGCTTAAGATGCAATGCCACAGTGCTGGCTCAAAACATTTTATACCCTCTAAAATGTTGTTTAACTTTTTATCAGCATGTAATGCTAATATATGCTTATAGGAGACAGTGTAATACTTCACATACATAAATACTGATCAGGCCCACTAGCTTGTCTTATTTTTATGTTTGGAGGCTACCAGCTCCTCTCTTCCAGTTTTTCATGAAGTGTAATCGCTGCACTGTACATCTGTTACTATAAGTTGCTACTTCTCTCTATGTTTTGGTATCCGTTATCCAGTCTCCCTCCGCTACCTTCCTGATACACAATAAATATTTTTAAATGCTTATTGATTTTTCCTTGAAAGTCAGAATTACAGAGAGAGAGAGATCAAGAGAGATTTTTGTATCCAGGGGGGTCAGCTAAGCTAATCTGAAGCCAAAAACCAGGAGCTTCTTTCTGGTCTTCCATATGGGTGCAGGGTCTCAAGCTGTCAAAGGGAAAGCCTCACTAAGAAAGTAACATTTGAGCTGTTCTTGAAGAAGACTATGATGATGGTTGCTATTTGGATAGGAGGGCTAAGGTCATTTTAGGGGAAGACAATGTGTGCCAAGGCCCAGTCTGGGGAGAATAGGCAATATGTCTGGAAAATGTAGAAATCACTGCTGCAGTAAATGCAGTTTACTGAGTGTGCAAGTTTGGACAGGAAGAACTTGCCTTCTGGGGTTGTTACTAAGATTAAATGAATTCGCTAAATGCTGTCTCTGAAATTCCTTCCAGGTACCCCTAATTCTCAGCAGTACAAAGTCCTCATTGGTAACCGGGAGTGGATGATTAGAAATGGCCTGGTCATCAGTAGTGATGTAGATGATTCCATGGCTGAGCATGAGAGGAAAGGCCGCACCGCTATATTGGTGGCAATTGATGGTGAGGTTTTCCGTTTGTTATGACTCCATATCATGGTCTCAGTTATGGTTTTATGTGTATTTTTGAAAGGCTTCTGAACTATAAGGGTTGTTCAAAATTCACTTCAAGGAAAGGTTAAAAATGGTTAGCAACACACAGCTGCTATCGGTTAATTGAACATTTTCTTGCATTGGCTTATCTTTGTCATTTTCTCTCTTCTATGTTCAAATAAAAGCAAATTAAGATTTCTTTTAAAGCCTGAAAGTAACATGACAAGAAAATAATAGCCCAGCAAAATATTACTGGGTCCTATTAGCCTAACACAATATAAATTAATTTTATAGTTTAATCCTCATTTTTGTTGATATGTTTATTGATAGGATTATCTTCCTGCATGTACTATTTTAATAAGTGCATTTTATTATATATAAATTGTATCTCAACAATGTTGAATAAAAACCTAAATATTATTTTATTTTCCTTTATTTATTTGATACTGTTTTTCCATGTTATTATAATTTTACCTTAATGCTGCATAATATATAAAATTATATATTATAATTTAGTATGTATGAAAATTAGGCTATTCCTAATGTTTCACTATTATAAATACCATGACAGTAAATATCTTTAAGGTTTTAGGTGCTTCCTTTTATTTATTTCTTAAGGTACATTTCTAGTTGTGAGATTTTTCAACTTTATAATCCTTCCAGGGTATGGGGGCAATGTCTTCCCATGGCCTTTTTTAAAAAGATTTATTTATTTTTATTAGAAAGTCAGATATACAGAGCAAAGAAGATACAGATAGGAAGATCTTCTGTCCGCTGGTTCACTCCCCAAGTGGCTGCAATGGTTGGAGCTGAGCTGATCTGAAGCCAGGGGCCAGGAGCTTCTTCTGGGTATCTCATGTAGATGCAGGGTCCCAAGGCTTTGGGCCGTCCTCGAATGCTTTCCCGGGCCATCAGCAGGGAGTTAGATGGGGAATGGAGCAGCTAGGACAAGAACTGGTGCCTGTACGGGATCCTGGCGATTGCAAGGCAAGGATTTAGCCACTAGGCTGTGGCACCAGGCTCCCCATAGGCTTCTTAGGTCAAGGAAGGAACCTGCTTTTATTTTTTTAAGTAGAATCAAAACAATAGTGATTTTTTTCCCCTAGCATAAAATGCTGGTGTTGTTTTCATTTAACCCCCTTTTCCTTAAAAAGAAAGGCTTTCATTTTAAGTTTAATTTTCTATTAAATTAGCAAAAGCATTTTAAAGAGGTATCCAGTAAACTCTGTTCATTTTCCTATTACTGCCCCCATTAGTAACTCCTGCAGCGCTCTGTAAAGCTTGCATAATCAAATGGAGAGGTTTCTCACAGGAGTTTTGGTATAAAAGCTTGTGTGGACCTGAAACAGTTTTATATAATGACATTCATTTCCCTCTGGAATTTGAAATCAAAGTAGTCTGTCTTCTCTGTTTCCTGACTTCTGATGCTCCTGTGTTAGACCAGCTGTGCAGCTTGCTAGCCATCGCTGACACCGTGAAGCCCGAGGCAGAGCTGGCCGTCCACATTCTGAAATCCATGGGCTTGGAAGTAGTTCTGATGACTGGAGACAACAGTAAAACAGCCAGATCTATTGCCTCTCAGGTAACCTGTTTCCTTAGCTGTTGGGATGGAGGGATGTGATGTCTTCTGATCCTTCGCACTGAGCAGCCTGGTTCCTTAAAAGAAGAATTAGAAGGCTGTGTTAGAAGGATTCTGTACATTTACTGTAGTTAATGAAAAAATGTTTGCTTAGCTTGTGGGATGTTTGAGTGACATTGTCCATCTGGTTCTATTGATGCTTCTTCTGAAATGCCGCTCATGTTCTTCAGCAGTGCTGCCAGCCCAAGCCAGGCCCCATCACCTCATGCCTCACATCTGACGGTAGTTACATGCAGGTCCTTCCTTGGTGACTGCTACTGATGGAGCCATTTTCCTCGTGTATCACTTTGACATCACCTACAATTACTTCCTTTTTTTTACTCCTGACCCTCACATTTGCCTTGCCTCCAACAATTTTTTTTTTTAAGATTTATATATTTTTATTACAAAGTCAGATATACAGAGAGAAGGAGAGACAGACAGGAAGATCTTCCATCCAATGATTCACTCCCCAAGTGAGCGCAATAGCTGGTGCTGTGCCGAAGACAGGATCCAGGAACTTTTTCCATGTCTCCCACATGGATGCAGGGTCCCAAGGCATTGAGCCGTCCTCGACTGCTTTCCCGGGCCACAAGCAGGGAGCTGGATGGGAAGTGGAGCAGCCGGGATTAGAACTGGTGCTCATATGAGATCCCAGCGTGTTCAAAGCAAGGCTTTAGCCTCTAGGCCACGCTGCCGGGCCCGCCTCCAACAATTTTTAATCTTTTTCTGCTTTGGGAGGTTTGTTCTCCTCTTCAAGTATATAACACATGCAACAAATAAAGTAAAAAGTTTGTCAGCCTTTTCCCATGCTCTCTGTCTTGTCCTCACTCCTGTGCTATTTCATTCACATGTATGTCCATATGCAAATATGTTGCTCCAGCATTTTCCAGCATTGATTGGATTATTTTGTGGGGGTTATGCGGTGATTTGCTTTTGTTTCACATAACACTGTGCCTCTAATCTTTCTCTCTCAGAGCATATAAAATATTTCAATCTTTCTACACAGCTGTGTGGACTTCTTTTAAATACTTATTCATTTGAAAAAGTTATGGTTGGGGCATAGAGTGGGAGAGATCTTCCACCTTCTGGTTCACTCTTCATATAGCTACAACTTCAAGAGCTGCTCCAGGCCAAAGCCAGGAGCTAGGAACTTCATGTGGGTTTCCCACGTAGGTGGCAAGTGGCTAAGAAATTGAGCGATCTTCTGCTGCCTTTTCCAGGCCATTAGCAGGGAGTTGGATAGGAAACGGAGTGCCAGGCCATGAATCAGTGTCCATATGGGATGCCGGCATCACAGGCAGTAGCTTTACTCACTATGCCACAATGCTGGCATGTAGATATATGGAATGTTGTGGTTTGGATGATTCATTATTTAGCCATTCCCCTAAGGATGAACATTTTAGGTGATCTTTGAAAATATTGTAAAGAGGGCAGTAATGAACATGTTTGAGCATGTGTATTTTGTACGTGGACAAAATTCTATTCAAAATATAGCTAGGATTGGAATTTCTAGATCAAGTGAAGTGCCACTTAGAGACTGTGAAATGCCCTCCAAAAAGATGGTATCAGTTTATACACTCACCAACAATGTGTATAAGCGCTCACTCTTCCATATTATCACTGGATATTATTGGGCTTTTAAAATCTAGATATATGGGGCCCAGCATTGTGGCCCAGTAGATACTGGCATCCCATATGGGCACCGATTTGAGTCCCAGATGTTCCATATCTGATTCTAGATTACCTTGGAAAGCAGAGGAAGATATCCCAAGTACTTGGGTCCCTGCCACACGTATGGGAAACCTGCCGAAAGTTCAAGGTTCCTGGCTTCAGCCTGGCCCAGCCCTGGCTGTTACCGCCATTTGGGAAGTAAACCAATGGATGAAATCAATCTCTTCTTCTACCTCCCTTCTTCCTCTCCTCTTTCCCTTTCAAATCAAATAAATACACCTTTAAAAATTGGGGGGAAAAAAATCTAGATATGTGGTGGATGAAAAATGATGGCTCGTTATTTCCTGAAGTGAATTGAGTTTATTTTCTTCATGTAGGTTGGCATCACTAAAGTGTTTGCTGAAGTTCTACCTTCTCACAAGGTTGCTAAGGTGAAGCAACTTCAAGAGGAAGGGAAGCGGGTGGCAATGGTAGGAGATGGAATCAATGACTCCCCGGCTCTGGCCATGGCTAATGTTGGAATTGCCATTGGCACGGGCACAGATGTAGCCATTGAAGCAGCTGATGTGGTTTTGATAAGGGTAAGTCCTTTGGCCAGACCTTTGAGAAGTGTTTTATGGATCACCATGGTCAGTGTTGTAAAGTGTGTTAAGCACAGTAATTCCACGCTAATTTCCATGCTCGTAGCCATTGAGATTATGTGAATTTGGGGTGCAACTATGGAAAATCTTACTAATTTCCTCCTGATTTTCTCAGTATAGTTAAGCAAGTAAAAATCATACACTTCTACCATGAAAAGTAAGAGTTTTTAGTGTATTTATAATAAAATTATCTTCAAAAAAGTTATTGAACTACTTTCAGTGAGATTTAATCCTTGTACCAGTCAATAGCCCTAAATGTATTTGCAGAACCCTGAGAAAATTTTCTGAAAATAATCTTCCAAGGCTAACAAGAAGTATTAGCAATATATGAGATTTGTAGTTAATTAATAAATTACCATAAGGTACACATAATCTTTAATACACATGGCATCAAATACAAAAGTTACTAGTTAAACTGAAGTAGACTTTCACTAATATCACAAATATTTCTGTTTCCAGAATGATCTTCTGGATGTAGTGGCAAGTATTGACTTGTCAAGGAAGACAGTCAAGAGGATTCGGATAAATTTTGTCTTTGCTCTAATATATAATCTGGTTGGAATTCCCATAGCTGCTGGTATGTGCCACATAACTGGTATTACTTCATCTACTGTAGTCTTTAGAGACCTATCATTTTAAAAATTTAATCTTCTACTTATTTGTGGTTTTTATCTTTATTTATTATTATTATTTTATGATACAGTTCCATAGGCCCTGGGATTTCCCTTATCCCCTCCCCAATCCCCCCCACCTAGTTCCCCTATATCATTACGAAAGTATAGTTCTTCATAGACAGTCATATGTCCATCCTTGTGGGCATGGACAATGGCACTACTTACTTGTTCTAAGTTTAGTTTTTGTATGTGCTCCTCTGGTGTGGTGACAGGTAATATTAAAATCTATACTTTTAATTTTCATCAGTGTTTCATGTAGCTCAACAGCCTGTGAGTTTCTTTTCTTTACTCCAAATTTGTATTTTGAAAAATCTCAAACCTATATAAACATTGAAAAAAATGCTGCAGTGGATATCTGTATCCTTTAGGAACATGCATCCATTTTGTTAAATTGTTTTATCTCTTTTTCCATATACTTGCATACAAGTATGTATTTACTTATTTTTTGTTGAGGAGAACAACCTTTGAGCTCATTATGCAAACATAACCACCGTTGGCATTTGGTGTCATTTCCTTCCAGTGTCTCGTACTCTACATCAGTTTTTGTCTTGTTATACAAGATTATCATATAGAGAGTTTTCTGCTTTTTCACTTAATGTGCTATCATAGTCAATGGTTATTTTTAAGCTTGCAAGCCACATGAGAAAGACTGAGTGAGAGAAAATGACCAGGAAATTTGCTTTTAGAATTGTGTAATTGGTTTCTGAGAATCTCTGAAATTTAGACTTGGTAGGAGTTTGCACTGACAAAAGACAAATGGTTAGCACTGTCTTCTTGGTCTGATTTGAGAGACAGAGGGAGATTTGAAATGACATGAGATCAATTACAAAGCTGTTTATCAACAGAGGCACACAGAGGCCTAGAGCAGCAAGAGTAAAAGAAGAGCCCAATTCCAGTGAGATTAATTCATGGAACAAGTATTTTAGACAAATTTTACAAGTAATATATGATCACTGTAAAAAAGTAGAAAAATTCAGACAAGCACATAAAAATCGAAAGGTGATAATAGGCCTGTTTTATCCCTATTATATGAACGAACATTAAAATATCTGTCCATTTGTGGTGTAGTAGGTTAAGCCACTGACTTAACACTGACTGCTCTGCTTCTGATCCTGCTCCCTGCTAATGCACTTGGAAAAGCAGCAGAGGATAGTTCAAGTGGCTTGGGCCCCTGCCACCCATGTGGAAGACCCACATGGAGATTCAAACTCCTGGCTTTGGCCTGGCTCAGCTCCATCCGTTGCAGCCATCTAGGGGATGAATCAGAGGATGGAAGGTCTCTCTCTCTCTCTTGTTTTCTCTCTCTGTTTTTCAAATAAATAGATCAGTCTTTAAAAATCACAGTGTCAGGCCTGGCGCCATGGCATAGTGGGTAAAAGTCTTTGCCTTGAACATGCCGGGATCTCATATGGGCATCAGTCCTAATCCCAGCAGCTCCATTTCCCATCCAACTCCCTGCTTGTGACCTGGGAAAGCATTTGAGGACAGCCCAAAGCCTTGGGACCCTGCACCTATATGGGAGACATGGAAGAAGTTCCTGGCTCCCGGCTTCGAATTGGCACAGCACCGGCTGTTGCGCTCACTTGGGGAGTGAATTATTGGATGGAAGATCTTCCTGTCTCTCTCCTTCTCTCTGTATATCTGACTTTCCAATAAAAAAAAAATAAAATAACTCTTAAAAAAAAATAACAGTGTCTATCAAAACCAGGATAGGGGCCAGCATAGTAGTGCAGCGTGTTAAACTACCATCTTCCCTGCTAGCAACTCTTCTTAGAGTACCTGTTTTAATTCCAGCTGTTCCACTACCATTCCAACTTCCTGCTGATGTAGCTGAGAAAGCATAAGATGGCCCAAGTACTTGGACCCTGCTACCCAAAAGAGAGATAAGGATTGAGTTCTTGACTCTTTATCCCAGCCATTACTACCATTTGGTGAGTGAACTAGAACATGGAAGGTTCTGTCTGCCGCTCCCTGTCTCTGTTACTTCTGCTTTCAAATAAATAAGAAGTTAATTGTTTTAAAAGAGTCTTAGAGAGGGAGAGGCAGAGAAAGATCTTCCATGTGCTGGTTCACTCCCCAAATGGCCACAATGGCCAGGGCTGGACCAGGCCAAAGACAAAATGCCAACGCCAAATCTGTCTTCCAAATAAAATAAGTCTTTTAAAAAACAAACCAACAAGCAAAACCAAGGGTAGATGAGTTTGTAGGCTATTAACATGCATACACTGTCAAGTTGGTAGGATTGTGAACCGGTGCATTAACTGTAGAGAACAACTGATGTGTATTTGCCCTGAGTTGGACGTGTGTCCATGTTATGACCCAGAGTTTTCACCCCTAGTATAAATTGTAGAGAAGTCCTCAGACATGGGCACCGGGAGTCATGCTCCAGGGTGTTCAGAGCAATCCTCTATTCGTGAAACACTGACAGTAGCACAGATCTTTACCGAGAGCCTTCCAGTGCTGAAGAAATAGCAGACAGACTGTATTAGAAAAATGTTGATAATCTGTTTGGTATCGTCTGTCTAATCCAGACTTGTTTCCTAGGAGTTTTTCTGCCCATTGGTTTGGTGTTGCAGCCCTGGATGGGATCTGCAGCAATGGCTGCTTCCTCTGTTTCAGTGGTACTTTCTTCTCTCTTCCTTAAACTGTAAGTACGATGGCATTCTTACCTTGAAATTAGTATTCCTTTTATCCTGCGTAGTCAGTCTAGAGAGTTTTTATTCTTATCTGAATAATAAGAATTATTATTAGCTAATAATAGAAAATTGGCTATGTGACTGTCACATCCGTGATTTATAGATAGCAAATACAAACACTGAGTAGGGTAGAATCTAGTTCACTGCCTTTGAGAAATAGAATTTCTGGTCATGTAACTCCCCACAATTCATTTTGAGCTGTTTTCTGGCAGTAACCATCACACTTTGTACAGGCAGATCACCTCCTTTCATTTGTGCAAATGCAAAGCATCTAGTTCACATTCGGTGTACCTTTTATGTGCCCAGGTATCGGAAACCAACCTATGAGAATTATGAACTGCATTCCAGGAGCCAGATAGGACAGAAGAGTCCCTCAGAAATCAGTGTTCACATCGGGATAGATGATACCTCAAGAAATTCTCCTAAACTGGGTTTGCTGGACCGGATTGTTAACTACAGCAGAGCCTCCATAAACTCACTGCTGTCTGATAAGCGCTCCCTAAACAGTGTTGTCACCAGTGAACCAGACAAGCACTCGCTCCTGGTGGGAGACTTCAGGGAGGAGGACGACACCACCTTGTAGGAGGCCACACAGAGCACTGATGGCTGCGCTTGCTTTGCTTGGACTCAGCATTCATGACTCCGCCTTAGGTTCTTGAAGGAATGTGGAAGGATTTTTCTGTGGGTCTCATACTCTTATATCACAGGTTCGTAGTTGCCTTTGTCCAAAGGCCAACACCACCTTATCTCCAGGACATCAACTCTGAACCTAGCTTTACTCCCACTTACTTTCCAGCAGTCTTTGCTTTTGCTGGCAACAGACAAGGCAAAGCAGTGGGGTTTACAGCAAGGCCTACAACCAGAGACTGCTGAAGCAGTAGCTTCTTTTTGCTTGACCCAAATGGAAGTCCAAGAAGAGGAAAAATAAAATGTTGCTGATTTGAGAACCTGATCTTGAGACTAATCTTGAGCCCATATCCCTGCCCATTGGGGAGTAGTGGCTTTCAAAGCACTGTACAAAGCATCCAGTTTTAGAAGGCTAACAGTTGAAGCTGTTTAAAAAATAGATGTGCCTTATTTATTGCAGGCTTCTTGTTTTTGCTCCTATCTTCCCTATATCCTTGTCCTTATCCTTGCAGTTGTTTTCTTGCAATACTCCAGTGTGTCTTTTGTTATCTTCTTCCCAGTGAGCCAAGTTTGGTAGTTTTCCGTTGATAAAATTAACCGACAGCTCTTCCAGTACCTTGTTCCTTTTTAAAATTTTGTCACTGAAAAGACCTTTAAGGGCCTGTAGAGTTCTCCAGCCATCTTCCCATTGCAGAAAAGGTGTCCAATTCTTCAGGCTCCCTAGCTCTGTGCTAGCTTTGAATTCACTCCTGCTAAGTTCAACTTTAAGTTGTTCTTGGTGTAATCTCTCAATCTTAGTCCAGAGAATTAATGTTTTGAGTCTTTTCTGCTCAAAAGAGTTTCAAAGATTAACACTATTTTAACATATACGGGTCATACATGATTACCTGGGTTCACTAAGTTCATCTTTTTTGAATAGGCTACAATCTCTTTCCTAGTACATAGCATTTACTATATTTTAATTGTCTTTTAGTGTTTCAAATAGGTTCTCAAAAATTTTTAAGACAATGTGTTTGACAGCTCTGCTTTTACCAAAAATAAGGTCAGTTATAATAATGCAATCAGAATTTCCCTAGCTTATGATCCCTTTTAGTCAGATGTCTATTTCAGTTTAGAATGTTTGTACTTGCCTAATTCATGTTAGCAAATGCAGTGGCTTATTCCCATTGCCAAATGAATTCAGAAATCCCCCACCCCCATGAGTGCCTGAGAACTGAAACACTACTCAGAAATCTGGTACTGGCATGGTTATTTAAGTTTCCCTGCTAAACTGCAAGGTGGATTTCATGTGTGGAATACACAAGTGAAGAGAACTCCTGAAGAAATTGCTAACATTTTGCATCCATGTTCTTGGGCAAAAGCTAGCTCAGTGCCTGATATATAGAACTTGTACTGAGCAAATGTTAGTTCTTTTCTCCCCCTAAGATTAATGATAAATATAAAAAATCATTTTGATAGAGCAGAGTTCAGAATCAGGTGGTAGTGAGGGGTAAGTTTGCTCTAATCCAGCTGCCTTTGTCTTTTGCCCTTAAACACAAGCATACACACACACTACACACATGTACATGTTCACTTATTCCATAGATTTGGAGATGATCTAATTTCTGTCTCAGCTATCTTTAAGGGAGAACTGAAACTTTTGATGAAGGTGCTATTAATCCATTTAAACCCATTTTAAGGAATTATGAATGAGATAGGTATCTAAGTTCTTCTGTAGACCAGCTCTTATGTCAATTTTTGTGCTTCCAACTTAAGTTTTAATGTTTCTTTCTTATTTTAATTCAGATGGCCCAGCTAATATGACAAATGTAAAATTGATATATCTTATTCTAAAGCCAAATTTTCAAAAGAATATCCCTCCCTTCCCTCTCTCATTTTCTTTTCTCTCTCAAGCACTTAAACATAACCAATTACTATTATTATTATTATTATGTGTATGTTTGAGGCATGCTCTGGGCCCCATATACATGTCATAGAACAGTGGCAGTAGCAGCTTATGGTTTGGGAATAATCAAAGATATAATTTCAGCTCTGCAACAGATATCATGGTATTTAGAAAGAGTTGTGCATTAAATATCTACAGTCAAATTTTGTAACCTTAATTTCCCATTAGCTTGAGAAAACCGTATTCACGAGAGATGATTTATAAATAGGATTAAAACCATGATTTTCAATTAGTAACTAGTTTTAAGTAACTAGTTACCGCTAGTGAGAACAATTTTATGTTTGTGTGTTTGTTTATTCACATACATAGGAATATATATATGTACACACATATTACTGTGCAGAAAGAAAAATGATTTGTTTTTGATATTGGAGTATTTGAAGTTCTCTATTTGTGTTTATCATTCTTTTGTATTCACTCAGCAACCATGCCCTGAGTCTGAAGAAAACGCTTTGATGTCCAGTGTTGGTTCAGACTTTAACATGGGGCACCTTTAGCTTAAATATCCAAAGATGCCTTCTGAATTTCAAATAGTAAAACACAACTAGAGCATTTACTGTGATAGTCTAAAGGAGTGTGGTTGTCAGTTGTGAAAATAGAAATATTTTTTCCCTAGTTCAGTGTCAACATTTTATAATGATAAATTTGATGCCTTGTGAACAAATAATTTTATATTGTGCTTTAATTTTTTTAATTTCTTCATTCAGATGTCAAAAATGCTAAAAGTAGCACTCTAGACATTTCCAAAAGTTTTAGTGTGTGTATTTTTCCTGTACACAGCTTAAAATCAAAAATGTGTGTTAGAGATTTTTTTCCCGTTGCTTGGGGATCTTGCTTTAAAATGATTCTTCTTGATATTTATTTGACTCGGTTTTGTTATTTTCTTTGGGTGAGGAATCTGGCTACTGGTTATTTTAAAGAAGAAAAAAGACATTCCTGTAATCACTCCATTTTGGGTTTTTTTGTTGTTGTTGTTTATTTCTCACTTTTCTATATGAAAAAGTATTGTTTTACCAAATGTAAAAAGGTAGATTAGTGCCAAATTAATGCCTGTTTTTACACTTGCTTTCTGTAGTCCGCTAATCTGTTATGAGTAGCTAGAGAAAGCACAAAGTTTCACTCATTGAATTCTTGATCTTCGGTTAAAAAGACCTCTTTAATTTGATAATGAAAGTGCCATTTGCAGCCAAAACCAGGCATTTCAAAGTTATGTTTTCAGGTTAAGAAATGTTTAGCTAAGCATTGTTAAATGTTGATTTATGGTACCCCCAAACAACAGTGAATGATATTGTGTACTGTCCATCTACTGTGGTCAAGCTCTTCCATAGTTTGTTTTTCCATAAGCATGTTATTGATCATATTTCTACCAGAGATGTGCCTTGAACTTTATAATTATAGTGTTGTAAAAAAAAAAAACTTTGTCAGTGTCTCTTTTGTTACATCATGAAACCCGTCCTAGTTAGCTGCTCTAAACTAGCATTTGCTGTGTTTTTAAAGTTTTCCTTCCAGGTGTTAATTTATAGGAGGGCAAGATTGGAGGCAGTACCTCAGTCAGGTAGTTCAAGAGGTAAGAAATCTGTTTTCCTTTGGGTTCTATTCTGTCTGCTGTATCATTTAGTGAGGGTCAGAAGCAAGGAAAGGAATGTAATTGTCTACCTTCCTTTTGTGATTTCTAATGCATTCTTGATAATATGTTGAAAGCCAGTGAGCTCAATGAAGAAAGGAGATTCTCTGGCCTTTTGGGGAGACCTAAATATGGCATTTGGAGGTCTTACCTAAGATATGTTCCCATTCCAAGCATACCTTTGTATTAAGGAGAGGGCTTTGAACTTGTGAGGGAGTTCCTTCCAAATTCTTGGAATTATTTAGGGTGATGAAACAGGATTAGGAAAGGGAATATATGTGTAACACCCGGAGGCTTCCACTGGTCAGCCTTTCTTTTCTGTAGGTGTCCCAACATACAACCTGGAAGAATGTGTGACAGGCTCTTGGGGACCTAGGTGTGTGGACTCGAAGGGACCCTGGGGAATGGTGCCAGTGGGGGTGTGCAGGTACCTGGGGGCTCAAAGCCAGGCAGGTGGCGCGAGCCTGGGGATTACCCCATGTCTTGGTCTCAAGTGGGGTGGGATGAAGAGAGGGGAAAGCCCTAGGTTGGCATGCTGACCTGGTGGGCTGGTGAATCGGGCTTGGGGAACTTTGAAATGACCTGGATATTGGGTGTGTAGAGCTTGGGACTATGATGAGTGGGCAGAGCTCCTAGCCAGTACAGCACACCAACCCACCAGAAGATCGGCCTGGGAAAGCTGGGCTGGAGAACCCAAGGGCTCCCAGGCACAGGGACTGTGGACTGATCAGGGAAAGGGGCCAGGGGTGTGTGAGAGGGAGGGCTGCTGAGGGAGTATGTTGCAGGTGAGAATTGACTTCTAAGGGACCCCCATTGACAGAGCCATTGTGTTTGCAGGTAAGTGAGGGGATTGAGACCAAACAGTTTGGAGGGGGAAAGCTGCAGTACTATTACGGGTCAGATAGATGCATCAGCTTACGTGGGAGACCTGAACTTGGCATGGATCACCACTGACCACCACTCACCAGTGCATACTAAAGCTAGGGCTGAGGGCTTACCTGGCAGGGCTTGATCACAGTACCTGCCAGTCAGAGTCAAAACAGGTAATGTTAGACTTCACCAGGACACTAATCAGCACATGAGAGAACCAAGTCCAGGGACAGATTCTGTGGGGGATATGTGGGCCCAATCTCTGCGGAACTATATTTTCCACTGATATGCTTAAGAGTTGGGGGTAGTAAGGGACTGAGCTAGGCATGACCATGGAACCCTCTGGCACCCATGGGTACTAGGATGGGGATCAGGCTGGGCTTCTCGAGGATGCAGCATCCACAGGAACACCCAAGAATAGATTCTGGGCTGGGCTGGGCTGAAATATCTACCAGCTCATATAAAGGCCAACACGGAGGGGGTCAGATTGTACCAAGTAAGGGTCTAGTACCTGCTACAACATGTGAGATCTGGGTCTGGGAGTGGGTCTAATGGGGAATATTTTGGGATTGGGAGACTCCCTTTGGGAGCTTTAGCCCCCACTGGAGAGCATGTGGTTCCGGCTCGGGTGCTGATCAGGCCAGGTAAAGCAGCTCTACCTGTAGGCAAGTGTGTGGGTTGTTTCTGGAGGGGGAAGTGGACCAGACAGGGCAGGGCCAGCTTTGCCTCACTGTCAGGTGCAGGAGCCAGGCTGGAGTGTAGGTCATGCTGGACTAGGCTATCACATCTACTAATCTGCATGAGCCAGGGATGGGAGCAGACTGGGCAGGGCTAGGCTGCAGCACCCACCAGTGAGAATTGGGACTGGGTGCAGGCAGGACAGGCCAGGCTTCAGCATCTGATGGCAAAGGCCTAGATGAGGCATGGGCTATGCTGAGCTGGGCCAGAGCAACCACTAGCATGCACAAGATCTGTGCCTGAGAACAGGCCGCGTTGGGGGGCTAAGGGAATGCCTTGGCTAGGTTGTGGTTCCCACTGGTGAGAGTGAGAGCTGGAATAGGAGCGGTAATCTGGGCTGTACATGACTGCAGTGTCTTTCAGCATGGTTGTGGACCGGGTCTGTGCCAGACAAAGCTAGGCTCCAATACTCCAGCTTGTGAGAGCCAGAGTGGGGGTAGGATGGGCCGAGCTGAGTCTCTGCCACTGCTGAATCACACAAAAGCTGTGTCTGGGTGTGGACCGAGTGTGGTTGGGCTGTAGCACCCAACAGTAAGAACCGGAATGGGTGTGGACTGGTTTGACAAGGCCACTGTTCCTTCCAGTGGACTGAGGAAGTGGACTGAGTCTGGGCCAAGGACCCTCTGCTGTGTGTGACATCTGCCACTGGGAGGAGACCTCATAGAGGAGCTTGGGGAACTCCTCCTTCAGCATGTAGTCCCTAAAGGTGAATGCAAGAACCAAGGCCGGGAGCAGCCCAAATCAGGCTAGGTTACAGTACCTGCTGTCATATGTGGGGGTCAGGTATGAGGACAGGACAGGCTGGGCCAGTTCATAATACCCACTGGCAGATCTGAGAACCCGAACAGGGTGCAAAACAGGGTGGGTCAGGCTACAATACCAAGCAGCTCACATTAGGGCCAGGGCTGGGGGCTGGCTTGGCTGGGTTAGGCTGTAGCACCCACCAGCAAGATCTGGAACTGAGGGCAGACCAGACCAGGCCAGACTATAACACCTGTTGGTCTGCATGTGAGCTGGGTTAGAAGGAGAGCCAGGCTGGGCTAACCGACTGTACTCACTGGGGCATGCATGAGCCAGGGTAGGTGGCAGGCTGGTTGGGCTTTGCTGCAAGCATCAGCTGATAAATGCTGGGGCTAGGGAAAATCCTGTTAAGCTAGAATACACAACCACCTGGAGAGTACAAGATCCAGGACTGGGAGTAGGCCCAGTGGGGAAACTGATGTGGCACCTCTCTGATGGGCTGCAACTCCCTCTGGTAATCATGACAATCAGTGCTGGTGGTGGGCCAGGATAGACAGGTGGTGGCACCCACCAGCATTAGTGTGTGCTGGATAGTGGGGCTGGTTAAACTGAGATAGGCTTCAATGCCCATTGATGTGTACAAGAGGTGAATGAGATGTGGAATAGAGTGGACCAGTCTGGGAGCCTAGTAGAGGCTACTGGGAGTTGCTCTGACTAGGCTGCAGCGCCCTCTGGTGTGCATGAGGGCTGAGTGTGTGGTGGGCAGGGTTGGGCTGCATCACAGCATCCATTGGTTTACATAAGAGACAGCTGGAGACCGAACTGACCCAGCAATTGCAACTACTAGTGTTTGTGTAGGCTGATGTGTGTGGAGACTGAGCGGGACCTGTACTGGCAATGACACGCAAGAGTCAGGCACATGTGGTGCCATAGCAGAGGAAGGAGGGCAGGACAAATTGATCAATTACCCCAGCCAAGTGTTGGCAGCAAATATCTGAGTGAATGAAGACTCTAAGGTGGACTGTGTCAGCAGATGGACCTTGGAAGGATTATCCTCATCCTTGGATTAGCAAGATCGACAACATTTCAGAACTATCAAAACCACTTGAGCAGAACCGTCAGAGCATGCTCCGAAAGGGGACCTGGGATGACATCAATGGCTGTTCCCTTTCTTGTGTACCTAGGCAGTTGGGAGGCTGAATGTGGCTCCTCCCCTTATCTTTCCCCTTTTTTCATATATAAGAATAAGAAAAAGAAAACTTTGAACCATCAGTCTCACCCACTTTCCCCTAATCCTCGACCCTTCCCACCCTAATCCTAGATGCTCCCCACCCTAATCAACTCTGTAAACCTCATCAAAAATAATTTTTTTAAAAGGAAGCAACTTCCTCAGAAAGCTTTCAAAAACTCTCTTGTTAAACAAGCATCAAAAGCCTTCCCAGAACTCAGACACAGAGGAGAGCTGCCTGACACATTTGCCTGGGGCCAGCTAGCTGTTCTTGCTAAACAATAGCATCTTCAGAATATAGACTCATGTAAGTGCGATACAAGACAAGGTTTTTAGGGAGTCAGGTGAAAGTAAAAATTGCTATTATAAAGGAAGTGTTACACAACTTAAGAAATCTTCCATACAGTCAATTTTGTCTTCGGAAATGTTGGAACTAGGCGGAGTAATCTTTAGCATACTCTATTGTTACCCTCAAGTGACTCCAAGCTTGTCATTGTTATACCCACCTGGCCCCAAGGACTGTTTATAAATGAAACTGCTGCCATGCTTTACACTCACTTGTGTCACCTCATCCAATGAAACCTCCAATTTGTCCGTTACAGCTTGTATCACCAAGTAGAAGAGAAAAACTGAGATGAAGTGAATCCTTTTTTTTTCACATGATTTTTTAAAAGATTTATTTATTTATTGGAAAGTCAGATATACAGAGAGGAGGAGAGACAGAGAGGAAGATCTTCCACCCAATGATTCACTCCCCAAGTGAGTGCAACGGCCAATGCTATGCTGGTCCGAAGCCAGGAGCCAGGAACCTCCTCCAGGTCTCCCACGCCGGTGCAGGGTCCCAAAGCTCTGGGCCGTCCTCGACTGCTTTCCCAGGCCACAAGCAGGGAGCTGGATGGGAAGTGGAGCTGCTGGGATTAGAACCGGCGCCCATATGGGATCCCAGCATGTTCATGGTGAGGACTTTAGCTGCTAGGCCATGGCGCCGGGCCCAGAGTGAATCCATTCTTAAAGTGTCAGTAAACTTTAGGTCTTCTCAGAGTATTTGAAATAATTTTAAAAGAGTGTTTTTCAATCTAATTGATTCAATTTTTTCAAAATTTAGGTATTTATTTAGGAAGAGGGGGAGAAACAGAGATCTTCCAAATGTTGGTCCACTCCCCAATATGGCCACAATGGCCTTGGATGAGC